AATTTAGGTGGGTTTGATTTTAACTATGAAACTTCTTTTGCTTTCTTTAAAGACTGATAAAGGGTTTGACAAAGCTACATTTGAAAGTCAAATGTCTGTGATGAGAGGACAGGTAAGCATAATATCTATCAGTAACGTTTAAAATATAACTGTTTTGAATCCCCTTTGGGGAGATAAAGCAGGGTATAAATAAACATAATAAATAATAATACATTGGGGATTTTTAAACTACTGAGAGCTACTATTCAGCAGATGTTCTAGAGCTAAAATGCTAAATCTGCAATCTTATGCAAATATTTCTGGGGATATTGAATTTTTACTATGAATTGCATCACATCTTGACAGTTTTGCCAGAAGTTAATGGGCCAAATAACCAATAGTATTTCTCCTGATGTGAAACTAAATGTCTCTAAATGTCTCAAAGACTCATAAGTTATCTAACAAGTTACTGGACTTTTAAAATAGAGTATTGAGTGTGTTGATCACCTCATAGTTAATCTAGCATCCTCCTAACTTCTAGCAAAGCTAGTTCAGGATCTTCTTGGTTCCAAGGACTGTAGTGTGTAAATCAGTGGTTCCCATCCTGTGGTCCGTGGACCATCAGTGGTCCACAAGAATGAAACTATGGTCCACGGCCTCACCATTGCCTCAAAACCACATGGCAAAAAGAGCACCTGGTCTCACGGAACCCTCTTATGTGCCGAGGCAACTGAGATGTCGGGAGCAGAGAGGCTGACTACCCTTGAAAGATTACTACAACCACATTATTAAATATGTTTTTCTGTGGGCGAGCAGATGGTGACTACTGGATGGCATATGTTCTGTATCAGAAACTAGAGCTGATGTGGTCTACCTAATGCAATTTTCTGAAACAGCACCCCAAATAACCAAACCAAGTCTAAAGTTGACCAAAAACTGATTTGTAACCCTTTTGGTACTAATATTGGAAAGTGATCGCTAGTCAAAGTGGTCCCTGATCAAATGGTCCCTGGTCACAGTGGTCCCTGGTCAAGTGGCCCAGGTCAAAAATGGGTTGGGAACTACTGGCATAAATGATTTGTTCCTTGCTCTGTGAGTTAGTATGGACGGGACCTGTAACTGGAAGCCCATCTTGTCCATCTTGCTAACTTCTTAATATCATGTATTTTAATCTGTATAGATACTTAACCTTACTCAAGCACTGAAAGATGGGAAAAGTCCTCTTCAGCTTGTTCAGATGCCTCGCGTGATTGTGGAGAGAAGTCAAGGTGGAAGTCAAGGACGAATTGTTCACCTGAGCAATGCGTTTACACAGACTTTTCATAGCCGAAAGCCTTTTTTTTCCTACTGGTAGAAACAAGTAAATATCTTCATTTTAGCAAGACTTTTGACTGCGCAAGAGTTTTGGAATAATAGAGTTCTGCTGAATACAGAGTGCTGGACTGCCAAAACCGTGGAACTTAAGTTTTGTATTTTTGAATGTAATAAGTTTACAGTTTGTTTGAAATTGTGAAAATTTACATCAGGGAAATGAGGAGCTTGTCCTATACTGTATTTTTATAAACAGTTCAATGTTTTCTGTATTTAATATTAAAAGGGAAAAAATAAAGTTTACAGATACCAAAGACTACTTTTGATTAAATTGTAGAAACAAACTGTTCTGTTGCATATAAATGTTGGAAATCAAAATCCAACTTCACTTGCTTGAAATCACGCACGTTTTCATTCCTCTGTTTGAAAGTTACTTGACATTTCATCTTAAGTTACCAAATTGCTACATGAGTTTTTATTGATTTTATGTATTCAAGAGTTATAAAATTGTTTCTTGCTCAACTAATTGGCACCTGAGATTGATAATATTATATAAGTATGTGAAAAATAAGACAGGTAGATTTATTCATTTAAGAATCACTTTTGCACTGTGTGGTTTTAAAAATAATGACTTACTGCATGAAATGCCTGTACCAATATGTGTTTTGTGTTGCAAGTGGAAGAAACCAAGCAGATGTTTCCATTTTTTTGTTTTCTCTGTGACATGTCAGCTTGGAATGTAAGGCTTGTCTCACTCCACATGAACTGAGTTATTGACAAAATTGAAACTTCTGATTCTAACTTGTCTGGAGAATCAGGCCAGTCTTCCTGGCTGTTGTGTCACATTAGACCAGGATGGCCTATTCACAGTTCATTTAGTTGTTCTACCTCCTTGCAAGAGAAGCCATGCAGGGGCAATCAAGCATTCTGACATTTTGGATTAAGCCAGAATTGTAATTTTATCATAGCACATAAATGGGGCCAGTGCCATAAACCCAGAAGAAACCATTATTTCATAATTTGCAGCAGTTATCTCTTCAGTGAACTCACACGACATGTCCTGTTTTGTAGGTAGTTGCAGTCTGTTGCTCGCCTTTCCCCTACCTGTGCATAATGTATAATGTGCCATTCATACTTCATATGTGCATTATCTGTGTAGACAACATTTCTGCTCGCAAATGGATTGAGTGCATCCGATGGGTCTCTAAATATATACGGGTTCTGGGTTCTTCCGTGACGCTCACTGTTATATTTGAACATCTTCATGCATATTTCCATCTGTGTAAGGTACCTGCTGTACTCGATCATTTTGAGTTGTTGTTTCCTTTGGCTAAAAATCTAATTATTGTAGGCCCATTGAGTTATTGTTTTATTTATGAAAGCTTTGACATACCAATGAGCAGTTGATTCAGTGGATCTATAATAGTGGGGAGTAGCAATTGGATAAAGGCCTTTAAGTTTCAGGAGGAAAGTAGATAAGTGCATGTTTAATTTCTCTCAAGTTCTTATTGTGTCTTAATGTACCTCCAAAGATTATTTTGTTTGTTGTGGACCAAATTCAGGATTAGAGTAACACTAGTGAGAATGCTTACACAGATTGACTCTGATGATGGTTGTAGGCATTTATATAGATATTCTTTCATCTTGATATTTGTGGTTCATTTTAAGGTTGATGTATTGAAAAAATAAATTCCATATATATATTTTTCTTAAGGTAAATCAATATTTATGCTGCACTTTCACCCCAATATATATTGCAAGACCATAAGACCATTAATGCTAGTTAAATTAATAATGTGACACCAAAGTGGATAACTTCTATTATTAACACATTGTCTCTCTCCTACTGTCTCCTGGATTTCAATACTGTACCACCTAAAATCTTCAAAGGATTCACCTTGTACGTTCCTATCCATTTGTTGTCACAAGACTCCTCAGCGGTTCAATTTATTTTATTGGCCTTAATGTATGTAAATATCGATGCCAAGAGTAATTTGGGATACAGAAATGAGTAATACCTGCTCTAAACTGAGTGTTGAGGACCTCAAATAATATTTGTAGCAAAAATTGCTTCTATGAGTTATGTGTTTCATTACTTCTAGTGATGCTGTATCTTAAGCTGCTGAGCAATACTCTTGAGCTCTCCATATGGGTCTATTTTTAATGATTTGTAAAGTGGTAGTGAAACAATGTAGCATAGTTGGAACAATTCACTTGATATACTAAGCCTTAAAACGTAAAAGTTACTGTGGGTTCAAGATGACATGTTCAGAAATTTACTGTGGCTTCAATTTTTATGAACTCAACATTTTAAAAAATGTACAAGACTACCTTACTTTACTCCTAAAATAATAAAGATCATGGTCTGAAATACATCTCTTTTCCACAAGTGTCTCATTGATTGCCTTTCATTTGATTGACATCAAAGTTATTCACAGATTAGGTTAGTATGTATATATATTTAAAAGCAGGGAGAATTTTAAAAGGATCAATCATGTGAAGTCAAGTTGGATATAAAAGATCTAAAGTAATGTTTTCTGGTTGAATGTGGATTCAACCTTTGGTGGGTTTTTTCAGAAGCTCTTGTGAGTCTCCTGTGGTGCAGCACGTTAAACCGCTGAGCTGCTGAACTTGCTGGCCGAAAGGTTGGCAGTTTAAATCTGGGGAGTGGGGTGAGCTCCCGCTGTTAGCCAACGTAACAGTTTGAAAACATACAAATGTGAGTAGACTAATAGGTACCGCTCTGGCAGGAAGGTGACAGTGCTCCATGCAGTCATGCCGGCCACATGACCTTGGAGGCATCTACGGACAACACCGGCTCTTTGGCTTAGAAATGGAGATGAGCACCACCCCAGAGTTGGACACGACTGGATTCAATGTCAAGGGGAAACCTTTATCTTTAATTTGAGACTACTCATTCTGACCTATAAGGACACAAGGAAAGTAACCTTATTGGTAAGGATCACACACCAGTAGTTGCTAGGGTTTCTGTAGGATATTCCCTACCGGCTTTCATTTCTAAAACACCAAGGCAGTTATAATAGTAAAATGAGAATGGAAGGAATTCTTTTTAAAAGCAGAAGAAGTAAAAGTTTTCACTGCTTGTCAATACTGAAGAGAGATATTGACAAGCTGGAATGTGTCCAGAGGACAGTGACTAAAATGATCCAGAGTCTGGAGGACAAGCCCTACGAGGAGCGGCTAAAAGAGCTGGGCATGTTTAGCCTGAAGAAGAGAAGGCTGAGAGGAAACATGATAAACATGTATAAATATGTGAGAGGAAGTCATAGGGAGGAAGGGGCGAACTTGTTTTATGCTGCTGTGGAAACTAGGGCGCGGAACAATGGTTTCAAACTACAAGAAAGTCGATTCCATCTGAACATGAGGAAGAACTTCCTGACTGTGAGAGCCGTTCAGCAGTGGAACTCTCTGCCTCGGAGTGTGGTGGAGGCTCCTTCTTTGGAAGCTTTTAAACAGAGGCTGGATGGCCATCTGTCGGGGGTGCTTTGAATGCGATTTTCCTGCTTGGCAGGGGGTGGGACTGGATGGCCCATGAGGTCTATTCCAATTCTACGCTGCTGCTACAAAACACAGGCTTCCAAGGCTATGGAAGAAAGAGACAAGCCAAACAGGAAGTCAGTGGGCGTGGCTTATATTCACCTCTCGTTTGCCGGCGGCGCCAATTGGTTCCTTTCTCTGAAAAGGGAACTTAGAGTTTAGAATGGAAGATAATCCTCACTTCCGGTTCTCATGCGACGCGGGTCGTGCACACATCTTTTTGAAACCTTTCCGTGGGCTTTGCTTGCCATACAGACTTTTGCCTACCCCGCAGGCGTTCGGTGAGGAACCTGACGTGGTCGGTTGTTTTGCGGCTGCGTGAACTCTTGGGAGGGTGGCGCGAGACTCCTTTCGGCTGCGATGGAAGAGGGCGCGCGCGCCGGCGTGGCCCTCGTTCTTAAAGGGGAAGGCACAGTCCCAGCCCCGCATTGCCCGCACGGTGAGTGAAGGCCAGCTCTTCTGTTCTTCATCAACATGTATTACTAAGCATTTTTTAAAAAGTCTGCACAGTGTTCTCTAGCCAGTCGTGAGCATTTCTTCTTAGTGTTGCCCAAGGACCAGTTTTCCAAGGTGTTTTGGACTTCAACTCCCAGAATCCCTGATCCTTCCTCAAGGGAGCTGAGGCTTCTGGGAGTTGAAGTCCAAATCACCCTAGAGGGCGCTGGGGATTCCCTGCTGAGTGCTTGCTTCAGTTCAGTCATCTCAAGGTTTTAGACTTCAGCTCCCAGAATTCCCAATGGTTGGCTTTGGTGGCAGAGAATCCTGGGAAATGAAGTCCTCTTCCCAAACCATTTTAATTATGGTTCCAGAAGCAAATGATTCCCACTTATCCACAGTGCCAGTTCCATCAAACTACAGTTTGCATTTGTATATATTGGATATTAGAACAACCAGCCTTATGGTATTTCCATATCTTCTTTCATATATATATATGCTCTGTGCATAATGAGTTCCTTAAAAACAAAAGAACCAATGAACGAAATCACACCAAATTTGGCAACAAAATGTCTCACAACACAAGTGACCATCACTCAAAAATTATGATTTTGTCATTTGGAAGTTGTAGTTGCTTGGATTTATAGTTCACCTATAATCAAAGAGCATTCTGAACTCCACCAACAATAGAATTGAACCAAACTTGACACACAGGCCTCCCATGACCAACAGAAAATACTAGCAGCGTTTGGTGGGCATTGACCTTGAGTTTGGGAGTTGTAGTTCACCTACATCCAGAGAGCACTGTGGACTCAAGCAATGATGGACCTGAACCAAACTTGGCACGAATACTCCATATGCCCAAATATGAACACAGATGGAGTTTGGGGAAAATAGACCTTGGCATTTGGGAGTTGTAGTTACTGGGATTTATAGTTCACCTACAATCAAAGACCATTCTGAATGAACCCCACGAATGACAGAACTGGGGCAGACCTCCCACACAGAACCCCCATGACCAACAGAAAATCCTTAAGGTCATCCAGTCCAACTCCCTTCTCCAGGGCAAGAAAACGTAATCAAAGCCCTCCTGACAGAGAGCCATCCAGCCATAGATATAGATAGATATATATGATTCACACACACGCAGATAAAGTATTATAGATTTCAAAGGGACCACTAAAAAAGGACAATGATATGTTGCATGTTCCAGAGTAGGAAAACCAGACAATCTCCACATCAACACTGACAAAGAAACAGCAAGAAATACTGTTTACCCACAAGCATAAAGACATATATTAGAAATCAGCACTTTCTAATTACTTTATTTTCCATATTACCAGACTGGGCCACAGCAACGCATGGCAGAGGACAGCTAGTATATATATAATTTTATTGCAAGCTCTGAATTCTTTACAGTTTCTGTCTAGACTTATATTTCCATCAGCAACTTCAATATTATTAGTCCAAATGTGAATGTGTGCACTCCTGGACTTTGAATGAAATCAACACTGTTTTATGAGTGCTTTGTAATGGTGGAGTTTGTTTTCAAATGGTACCAAAGCCAAAAAAAAAAAATAGAAAATGAGTTACAGGTGGCAGCACATTGTTGCCCAGGAATAGAATATTATGCACAGGTCAAAACTATCCAAATGTATCCAATTACTTTGGTATTGGGCTTGGAAAATTGCATTTTAAGCAATAGAATGCATACCTTTTGAACCATCTCGAGAGGTTAAGATCTTCCAGGGACGCCCTGCTCTCAGTCCCGCCTCCTTTGCAGGTATGGTTGGTGGAGATGAGAGACAGGGCCTTTCTCAGTGGTGGCTCCTTGACTATGGAACTCCCTCTTGGCCTTTGGAAAGGAAGTGAAGACATGGCTGTTGGACCAACCCTTTGATCAGGATAGTAATGCAGTGCAAGAAATTGATATGGAATATGTGCAATCGACAATTGGAATGGCTCTGGATTACAATTTTGGACTGCGTGGTTTTTTAAATGTTGCTGCTAAGATGTTTTAACTATGATTTTAATGTAATTGTTTATTTTAATTGATTGATACTTTTATATGGCATTAAATTGTTGCCTATCTATAAGGCTGCTCTGAATCCCCTTCAGGGTGAGAAGGGCAGAGTATAAATATGGTACATAAATAAATAACATCCTCAGCAGGAACCCCCGGTGACACAGCAGATTAAACTGCTGGGCTGCTGAACTTGCTGTCCAAAAGGTTGGTGGTTTGAATCCAGCGAGCAGGGTGAGCTCCCGCTGTTAGCCTCAGCTTCTGTCAACCTAGTTAGAAAACATGCAAATGTGAGTAGATCAATATGTACCGCTTCAGTGGGAAGGTAACGGCACTCAATGCAGTCATGCAAGCCATATGACCTATGAGGCGTCTAAGGACTACACTGGCTCTTCGGCTTAGGGTTGAGCACCACCCCCAGAGTTGGACGCGACTAGACTTAATGTCAAAGAGAAACCTTTACCTTTACTATCCTTGGCATTTTTTTCTGGTGCCTTTTGGAAATAAGCTCTACAATTATATTAAGCAGCTACATTCCATTGACTTCCGTAGGAACTATCCTCCCAATTTCCTTTGGATTATCACCTTGAAACCAATTTTGTTACAAATCACAAAAGGCATGTTAATCATTATTATCAATTCTGGGAAGTTCCTATAATTCTCCCTCTGTCCTTCATTTTAACATCCATTAAATAGATTCCTTTTTTTCCACTTCTAGGTCCAACTCTTCTATTTGCAAAGATGGTTCAAGGAAAAGAAGAGGGAAGAAGGTTTTATGCTTGTTCCGCTTGCAGAGAAAGAAAGGACTGTAACTTCTTTCAGTGGGAAGATGAAAAGGTGAATCAAAACAATACAGTTGGAACATTATCATTTCTCTGCCAGTTCTAGATAAACCAAGTTGAACATTGTTTAATTTCATTGACTTCAGTGAGAGAGTTAAGTCTATTATTTAACATTATGTAACACAATTTTTGTTCCTGGGTGATAAATGTCATTTCTTACTGGTTCTATCATAAAAACATGGAAAAGTTTATTAAACTGCAAAAACTTTGTTACTGCAGAAGATCCGGCAGCACATTTTGCTATCGTTTTTCAATGAATATCTCAGAGTTTCAACCAATTCAACATAGTTTGTGACAGCCACAAAATGAAGTTTCTGGAGTATAACAACTAAAAAGGAAGTACTGCCCAATTGAACAGGAAATAATACTTTCAAATAATACTTTCAAACCAGGAACAGAATATTTTCCAAATTTTGTTATGTAGTGTAATATAATAGTAAATAAATAGATATTCATCAAATCCCTCAGTAACTTTGCAGAATCAAAGAAATTATAGTATTATTTTTGTTTAGTGTATGTAGAAAAGGCTACGTTGTAATAATAATAATAATAATAATAATAATAATAATAATAATAATAATAATACAACAACAACAACTTTATTTGTATCCCACCATCTCCCAGAAGGGACTCTGGGCAGCTTACATAGTAGTACAATAAAACACATAAAATACAAGTAAATTGCATGTACTCTGCAAATGAGCTTTTAAAAAATCAGTTATGCTGTTAAGTCCACAGACTCAAAAATAAATATAAAAAGGGAGAAAAGAAGTGGATCATAAAAAGAGTTGGATAACCAGTATAATGTAGTGATTAGAACTTTGGACTGGAACATAATCCACACAGAGTCATTAAATTCACCAGGTTATTTTTGGATTAGTCATTCCCTTTTATTGTAACCTTCTCTAAAGAGTTGCCATGAAGATAAGATGGGGAGGAAGGCCCCCATATAAACCAAGTTGAGTTTATTGGAGCAAAAGTGAGATATAAATAAAGGAAATCATGATTCAAAACCTAGACCATCCATTATCTCAGTGAGGCACATAATACTTTGCATAATAGAATAAGACAAAGCAAAATCTTTTTCCAAGTGAATGTATGATCATGATCTCAGGGATTGACCAGGGATTAAATGAAAACAATCATCAGTATGTAGGACTGAGGCTTCGCTTAGGATTAGTAAAAAGACAATGAAGATCTTGTGTTGTCGGTGGCTTTCGTGGCTGAATCACTGGGTTGCTGTGAGTTTTCTGGGCTGTATGGCCATGTTGCAGAAGCATTCTCTCCTGAGGTTTCTCCCACATCTGTAGCAGGCATCCTCAGAGGTTGTGAGGCCTGTTGGAAAGTAGGCAATTGAGGTTTATATATCTGTGGAATGTCCAGGGTGAGAGAAAGAACTCTTGAAGACCTTTCTTTTCTTCCTGAAATGCGAATGTTGAAAGGAAAAATTGAAACTTGATCTTATTGAATTTTTGAAAACTATTATTTATATTTTTCCATATATGTATTTCTCAGGTATCAGAAGCTAGACTTTTAGCACGCGAAGAGTACAACCAAAGTCGCCAACCAACTTTCTCTCATGCAGACAATGTGGAAAGGTACTCTTTCTGACTCTATCTCCTTTAAATTTGAATTTAACCAGCCTTAATTTCACTCATTTTAAATATAAGTTTTAATTATTTTTATATTTTGAAGCCCCATAAGAAGTGTTCTAGCACTTGGTTACTAATAACTTCCATTATGTGCAAAGTTGGTTGGGACATAAGAAATTGTACTAAAATTTGATGGAGTTAATTTTCAGAACATGAGTGTTCTTGTAAAAGGGAGATTAGCGGCTAAATTCAGTTGCTGTCCCTCCATTCAGCAAACCTCCAAACATTTGCCATACTATGGATAAATCCTTAAGACACAATCAGTTCCAACCTTTTCCATTAGATTTCTTACAACTGAAGCAGCTACTGGTAGGTGCCCGTGATTACCAGTGATCTCTTCAATATGGCTTGGGCAGTAGGACCATGTTATTGTTTAGCATTTTTACTTGATGTTATTGTCTAAGTTTTAAATGTATTTTATTTTGCCTTATTGTAACTGCCTGGGCTTGGCCCCATGTTAGCTGCCCCAAGTTCCTTAGTTTTCTCTTTTGTTTTTGGACATGAGGTACAAAGCGTTTCTTGCCTTGCCACTATCAAAACGGAAATTTTGTAGAGAATGCCAACAGCTGCTGTTGCCACTGGAGTGGGGAAGGCACCCTGGCCATCAAGTATTGAGTGACATCTCTGTGTCCCAGCTCAAAAGACCCAGCCAGCTCCTCAGTCCCCTGGAGAATAAGAAGACAAATGCACAGTATCTCTTTGCGGACAGAAGTTGCCAGTTCCTCTTGGACCTGATTGTTGCTCAGGGTTTCAGAAGGGTCCTTTGTGTCGGCACCCCAAGGTAAAGTGACTGAGCGTATTTCTTAACTACAGTACTTTTAAGCAATGTGTTATGTATGTCTGGGCCCTTCCACACAGCCTTATAACCTAGAATATCAAGGCAGAAAATCGCACAATATCTGCTCTGAACTGGGTTATCTGAGTCCAGTTCACAGCAGATATTGGGGGGTTTAATTCAGGTGTGTTGAAGGGGCCTCTGTGAGCTTTTAGTTACGAGGACTTTGCAGTGATTGAATCAGGATGGACGCTGGGGTGTTATCGAACTATGACCATCATCCCTCACTCTTGCCTATGGGCTACTCCTGATCAAAGCTGGAGGTCCATATTCTGCCCCACTAAGGAGCTGAGGAGGACTTTATTCAGTCAAATAGCATCAACCTCTTTTTGTTCAAGGACTCCCTTCCTAGTGGAATGACCGATTCGTTGCAATCCTTCTATTAGTGGATAAAGACATTTTTTGAATAGATAATAGTAGACTTGTATATAGGGTATATAGGCATATAAAATAGATATAAAAATCAAACATTTACTCAAAATAAATCAGCATTTAACAACAACAACAACAACAACAACAGCAGCAACAACAACAACAACTTTATTTTTCTAACCCGCCTCCATCACCCCAAAGGGACTTGGGGCGGCTTACATGGGGCCATGCCCAGACAACATACAATTAAAAACAGAACAACAAAATATAAAACAGCATAAAAACAACATCATCATAAGCAATGAAAGCAAACATCATAAGCAACAACATAGGTACCTCTATCCTCATTTTGGGGGGGAGGGGATCAATATGTAAAACGAGTTAAAGGATAGGTTGGTCAAAAAAGGTGGATAGAACCAATAGTAGAATAGGAATAGAGCAATTATAACAGGGTCATTTCAGCTTCACTTAAAAATATAGTAATCAAATAGAGGAACTGAGTTCAGGTCATTGTTAGGAGCCATCTGTCAGGAATCGTCATTTGCAAGGCTGGCTAAACAAACTGATTTTCCTTTGTGTGTAATACAGCTGAAGCATTTTTTGCAGAGTTCACTGTAAACACTTCACTTTGTTACTAACAGATGTGTAAATGGGTAGAATTCAGAAACCTTTTCCTGTTGCCAATTTTTTCTTGACCCCCATAGTCATGTAAGAGGACCCATTTGGTGTTGAGACCCACAGTTTAAGAATCAATGTAATGAATCAGCCTTTAGTCCTCTCCATATCATTTAACTTTTAATTCCTAGAAGCCTTACCAAGCATGGTCCATAGTTCAGACATTCTTGGAGTTGGAGGGCCCTTCCAGACAGGCCCTATATCCCAGGATCTGATCCCAGGTTTTCTGTTTATCCCAGATTATCTGGCAGTGAGGACTCATATAATCCAGTATAAAACAGAAAACCCGGGATCAGATCCTGGGATATAGGGCCTGTCTGGAAGGGCCCTAAGTCCAAAGCCTCTTGAGGACAAAAGTTAAGAAGAAGACTGAAATTAGATAGTCTTAAGACAGATAGATGGCCACCTTATCTTACCAGCTGTTAGGAATGGTGGGAGCTAAGGTCCAAAACATTGGAGGAGCAGAATTTGAGAAACACTAGTCTAGGACTATCTCATGTAAACATCTGTGAAGTGAAATTACCCCAAATGAATGTTTTCCTAAACCTACAAGCTGGTACTCTCCAAATTTTTCTCCCATATATTTTTGATATTTTATTGTCCTCCCCGATCATATAAAACTTTAGGTTATGATAAATGATTTTGAGGTTATCATCACAAGTATCCCAGGTCTTCAAGTTCTCTAATGAACAACTGGCAGTAAAAAAAAAAAAAAGCCAGGTGCCTTGATTTCTGTCCCATGGAATTAGGATTGGGAGACTGATGCTGGGCAAACATTTAGCTGCAGAAAGTAGAGATTTGTTGTTGCTCATTGATAGGCTCATAGCTACAACTTTTTCTTGAGGCCTTCAGAGATTTCTCTACCCAGGAGCAGTAATGCCACAGGTAACAACTCAATCTAGAATGATGATTATTATGATTATTGAGATTCAAGCTCTTAAAGACACTCAAAGTGGTGAACAGAGGTTAAAAAATACAATGTAGAGTTTAAAATTTACAGACTACAGACATCAAAATTGTAAACCATTGGAAAATTAAAATGGCTGCAACCAATTTAAAAATACTTTTACTGATACTTTATGATCTGAGCTAATGCTATGTTAGAAGCATGTCATGGCTGTAGGACAGGTGCAAGCCACAGACCACATATGATTTGCGGGGATTTATTTCTCTGACGTTCAGATTTTATGAAAAGTCCCCCTCTCTAGCCCAATTTTTTATTCCTTGCAGCCAAAGCTGCCAAACCCCTGTTCCTGGAGTGGAGATTATACTTAGTACATCCTGAAACCCATAATAAATAACCTTACTAGAAATTACATTTAGCAGGAAATGATTTGTGTTCTTAAAAAAGATCACTTTCTGTTTTCCCTGGTTATTGCATGATTTTTTTTTTTGTGAATTATGGCTTCGTGATTATTATTTTTTCTCCCAGGCTTCATGAATTGATTAAATTCCAAGCATCGTGCAAACAGGAGATGAAGAGCCTTTTATTAGATATTGATTTCAGGTAGGATTTATATTTAGTTTGATGCTGTCTTCATTTAGAGTTCATACTTCTCTGTTCGGAAGCTACTTCATTTCTAAGCTTTATCACTATGCTGATAAAGGGCTTCTCAGTAGGGGCCAAACATTTATATCTAGTTACCTTAATAAATCTATAGCCAATTAAGAATCCAAGTAATTCTTGAATTGCACTGTGTTGGTGACAGTTCTGTTCCCAGTTTGGCTAAGTTGATGTGATGGAGACTTGGAGATAGTGAAGGTGATTATGAAAAGGGTTTCAGGTTAGGAAAGAAAGAAAAAAAGGAAGGAAGGTGCCTTTAAATAAAAGGTTAGGGAAGGTTTGATATTAAACCATTTCATATGTTGACTTCAGCTAATACCCCAATTTTGCAAGTAATTATCATCATTCTTTTTACAGGTATTCTCAGTTTTACACAGAAGAAGAATTCTGCCACTATAATATGTTTAACCATTTTTTCTTTGCTGGAGAGGTAAGAAATACTGAATGTGACTATGTAATCATTGTGGAATTTAGTGTTAATAAAATGTATTGTGAAATGAATATGAGAATCAAAATGATCACAAAGGTATAACTGTGCCCTTAGTACATGGAGATTATCCAAGGCTCATGCAGTTCACTTCTTTTATTTCCATTTTTGCCCTCTTCTTAAGGCAGCCAGATAAAAATGCAATATATGTACTGAATCAGATGAATTTATATATACCGTAAAAAAATCAAAATGAATAAAAAATATGGCAGGTAAACTAAGGTCTTTCATATAGGAGGGCTTATATCTGAGAGTGCCTTGGACTGCGAGAAGATCCAACCAGTCCATCCTCCAGGAAATAAAGCCCGACTGCTCACTGGAGGGAAAGATACTAGAGACAAAGTTGAAGTACTTTGGCCACATCATGAGGAGACAGGAAAGCCTAGAGAAGACAATTATGCTGGGGAAAGTGGAAGGCAAAAGGAAGAGGGGCCGACCAAGGGCAAGATGGATGGATGGCATCCTTGAAGTGACTGGACTGACCTTGAGGGAGCTGGGGGTGGTAACGGCCGACAGGGAGCTCTGGCGTGGGCTGGTCCATGAGGTCACGAAGAGTCGGAGACGACTGAACGAATGAACAACAACAATATAAATTACAGTATGCCACAACATTTGAAAATGTTTCTGTTCCTGGTCTGAAAGTGTTATTTCCTGTTTAATTGTGCAGTACTTGCTTTGAAAGTAGTTGTTGTACACTTTCCTCAAAGGAGGTCCACACAACCTCTGAGGATGCTTGCCATAGATGCAGGCGAAACGTCAGGAGAAATGCCTCTAGAACATGGCCATATAGCCGGAAAAAACCTACAACAACTTGGAAATAATTATTAGAATTTGAACAAGAATACAGTGTGTCTCAGCACAGTGCAAAGACTAATTCTGATGTCTAGGTGCTAATTCTCGATGGAGAATCTTAAGGCTACACAGAGAAGCCATTGAAATCCACAAGCATGTGGACAATTTCAACAGAAAGGAGGAAAGCATGAATACTGGCTACCAGTATTTTTTTAAAAACCCTCTAAAATCAGGTCAGTAAATATAGAACACTCAAAAACAGGGTAATTCCCGACAAAAAACAATCAGGGCCAGCTAACACCACCCCAACAAAGGATTCTCCAGGAAGGAAGCAGCCTGGCTTTGAAGCTGCAGGGCCATTAAATGCCAATCAAGCTGGCCAATTGCAACATTCACACTTTCCTCAAGCAGACAAGAGTTCTTTCTCCCACCCTGGACATTCTACAGATATATAAACCTCACTCACCTAGTTTCTAATGGACCTCACAACCTCTGAGGATTTTTTTTCATGTCAGGAGCGACTTGAGAAACTGCAAATCACTTCTAGTGTGAGAAAATTGGCCACCCCCAATTATGTTGCCCAGGGGATGCCTGGATGTTTGATGTTTTACCATCCTGTGGGAGGCTTCTCTCATGTCCCCACATGGGAAGCTAGAGCTGAGACGGGAGTTCACCCCGCTCCCCGGATTCAAACAGCCAATCTGTCGGTCAGCAGTCTTGTTGGCAGAAAGGTTTTACCCATTGTGCCACTGGGGGCTCCACCTCTGAGGATGCCTGCCATAGATGTGAGCAAAATGTCAGGAGAAAATGCTTCTGGAACATGGCTGTACAACCCGGAAAACTCACAGCAACACAACCTTAAGGCCCCTGTTTTCCTTTGTTATTATTCTGTCTTTAAACCACTTCTGATTGGATGGCTGCTTATATATCCTGTCCTGTGTAAAGTAGGGCATGTGGCCTTTGTCATTGTAGCTCTTGATCAGGAGCCTCCTGTGTTAGCCAATCACTTAGAACCCAATCGGATTTTCTTGTGACTATTGTTAAAGGAAATGAGTCAAGATTTCCAGAAGTCATTCTGGGCATTGACATATACCTATTTCTTTAGATCCCTCAAAATGAGCCTAAATTAAAAGTAAACTATTATCTCTTATAGGCTGCATATGAAATCTGTCGGAAATTCTTACAGCAAGACAAAGGTGAAGGTGTTATCATGGTGGCCGATCCTCCCTTTGGAGGCTTGGTTGAAGCTTTGGCTTTTAGTTTCAAAAAATTGATGGAAATGCGGAAGCAAGCAGAAGGTCCAGGTAACTGTTTATGAAATGATAGGTGGACTTTTGAAATGGTTCATTGATTTCTTAGAAATTATTTGTTATTGTTCTCTTAGGCCGGATATGGGTTGTTTCAGACAAATAGGTAGCCCAGATCTAACAGTGAACACCTTCCCCATGAAGTCCCTCCATGTTCCCCCCAAATTGGCTTTGACTGCAGAGTAAAACCCCTGGCACATGAACACCAAGGAATTGTTGAATTTAGGCTAACATTTTCAGTAGGTTGTACATTTCAATATCCTCTGACTGACAGAAGTTAAGGTAGTACCTATAGTGAGCTGAAGGACTTTACAGACTTATTAGGTAATGCTTCGCTAAAGGTCAAGGAGAAGCAACCGTTCTGAAACTTGAATGTAAACAGCTATGTCTTTTACAATTGTTTAAAATCCATTCCTAAAAAAAAATTAAAATTGTATACACATTTCTTCTTCTTTCTAGATGATACCAGCAAGGAGTTATCTATACTTTGGATATTTCCTTATTTCTTTGAGTCACGTATTCTTGAGTTTTTCCCACATTTCAGCATGTTGGATTATCAGGTATGGATAAAGAGAATTGATGTTACTATGAAATAGTAAAAAAATATTTGAGTGCTTCTTTTTTGAACCATTGTTGTCACCCAGTCATTTGTTTAATACCTTCACCCTAATGCTACTTTGCTATAGATATATTCGTTTTAGTATATCTTAGGCACCTTCTACACTGCCATATCATCCGGATTATCCAATCAGATAATCCACATTATCTGCTTTGAACTGGATTATATAAATCTACATTACCATATTATATAAATCTACATTACCATAAGGGCCGTGGTGGCAAAGCGAGTTAAACCGCTAAGCTGCAAAACTTGCTGATTGGAAAGTTGGCGGGGACCAGGTGAGCTCCCGTTGTTAGCCCCCAGCTTCTGCCAACCTAGCAGTTTGAAAACATACAAATGTGAGTAGATCAATAGGTACTGTTTCTTCAGGAAGGTAGTGGTGCTCCATGCAGCCATCCTATCCACATGACCTAGGAGGTGTCTATGGACAGCATCTCTTCGTCTTAGAAACAGAGATGAGCACCTCCCCCCAGAGTTGGACATGACTAGACTTAATGTCAAGGAGAAACCTTTATCTTTACAGTACCATATAATCCAGTTCACAACACATAATCTGGTTTTTATATGGCAGTGTAGAAGGGACCTTAATCTCACAATCTCTCTCTTTAAAATTAAATTTCTCAGTGGAGGATCGGCGTGCAACTGGGTAATCTTTTTTTATCTCTAATGAAAGATAAAAATGTAAGAAACAAAAAAAATACTACACCCAAGCTCCTAAGTATAGTAGATTTCTTCATTGTAGTGATAGTTCTCAAAAATTAATTCTATACTTGCTGGATACCTCCAGTGCTGATTGCAACTTCTTACTACTGCATACAATGTATACAATGCATACAATGGTATTCCCCGTAGTCACCTATGGATGTGAGAGCTGGACCATAGGGAAGGCTGAACAAAGGAAGATAGGTGCTTTTGAACTGTGGTGCTGGAGGAAAGTTCTGAGAGTGCCTTGGACTGCCAGAAGATCCAACCAGTCCATACTTCAGGAAATAAAGCCTGACTGCTCATTGGAGGGAAGGATAGTAGAGGCCAACATGAAGTACTTTGGCCACATATGAGAAGAAAGGAAAGCTTAGAGAAGACAATGATGCTGGGGAAAATGGAAGGGAAAAGGAAGAAGGGCCGACCAAGGGCAAGATAGATGGATGGTATCCTTGAAGTGACTGGATTGACCTTGAAGGAGCTGGGGGTGGTGATGGCCGGCAGGGAGCTCTGGCATGGACAGGTCCATGAAGTCACGAAGAGTCGGAAACGACTGAACGAATTAATAACAAACTACTGCTTTAGCACCTCATCCTGAATACAACTTAGAAGTTAAGTCAGTTTGGTTTGAAGATTACTAGAAACCTCCATGTAGGAAATAATCCTGCCTGAAAATTGGAGGGCCATGTAATTAAGTGTGGGTAATGGGCCTGCCACCTTTCGTTAGGACTCCATTTCCTAGAATCCCTTACCATTAGCTTTAGTGTCTAGGGTTTGGAGGATTTTTATGCCAAACATATCTGGGGAGACACAGTTTCCCATCCTTGTAATACTGCTTTGAAACTTTGTTTTTCATACCGTAACTTCTGCATCTCCCCCTCCCCTGCATCTTTGTTTCTGTATTTTTTTATCTAGGTAGACTATGACAATCATGCACTTTATAAACATGGGAAGACGGGTCGTAAACAATCCCCAGTTCGTATTTTTACCAACCTTTCACCACGTTTGGTCGTGCTTCCTGCAGAGGAAGGATATAGGTAAGAAACATTTGATGATCCCCAGACTTTAAATATTAGTTTTATTTTTTTAAAAAAAACAACATTAATTTGGCTGAAGATATCAATTACAGAAATGTGTGATGCAATAGCCTCTGGAGCAGAAAAAATGCTTTCAACTACTTTCTCTCTCTCTCTCTCTCTCTCTCTCTCTCTCTCTCTCTCTCTCTCTCTACCAGATTTTGCTCTGTCTGTCAGCGATATGTCAGTTTAGACAACCAGCACTGCGAAATCTGCAATTCATGCACATCCAAAGTAAGTATATAACTTTTGGAAGAGATTAATAAGAGTTAAACTTTGATCTGGTATAGAGAGATATGGAGTAGGTAAGCAAGTGGTTTCACATTGGAAGCTAAAACTTAAATACAGTTTCTAAAGAAATAAATATATACTTGCTCCCTTGTGCATGTACCCTTTTCTCATAAGAGAAATATATTAATGAAGTAATATATTTTTCATTTCCTGTTGAGCATATATTTTTGGCATACACAAGGTGAAGGCTGCAGGGTAAAGGCTACTATAATATACACAGAGGACAAAGAGATTTTGTGCTTAAAGCATAACATAGATATCATAAGGCTAAATGGGAAATTCGTACACTTTAGGTCTAAATTCAGTACTCAGTTCATCTTTTCTTTTCGTTTTTTACAAATAGGATGGGAGACGATGGAGACATTGCTGTCTTTGCAAAAAATGTGTAAAGCCCAGTAAGTATTTTTGACCTAATTTTCAGCACACACACAGGGCCCTTCCACACAGCCATGTAACCCAGAATATTAAGGCCAATAATCCACAATATCTGCTTTGAAGTGGGTTATCTGAGTCCACACTTCCATATAATGCAGTTCAATGTGGATTGTATATAGCTGTGTGGAAGGGGACACATTTGTTCTTCAAAAGAAACAAATATTAAACTGCTAATGAAAGTTTTTGCTGCAGGTTGCACTTGTAAGACATGGTTTTGAAATGCCTTTGAAAGTGAACCCTCTGGATCAATTGGGCCACAGTGATTGGAGAGGGCTGCTCTCTCTCTCATGCTTGGAATTGTCTTAGAGCTGTATGAACACTTTTTTTCTTTATAGCTCTAATGTGTTCCTTTTATTTTGCAGCTTGGGTTCACTGCAGCACTTGCGATAAATGTGCTCTTCCAAGTCACTCTTGTAAGGATACTGACACTGGGTGTTATATATGTGGAGCTGCAGACCATAAACGCACCACCTGCCCTAACCTGCAGGTGGCCAGGAGAGGTTCCCAGTAAGTTTGTTATGTGAATTTTCCTCCTTTTCTTTGTGGGAACAAACAAGCTAATTTCCTTTTCATAAAAAAGGGCCTCATTGAATACTTGATATACTACAGCTATAGAAAGCTTTTTTCCACTTCTCTAACACATTGAAAACTACATGTGACTCACCCTCTTTGTGTACACATGTGTGTTCATGTATCTTTTTAAAAACTCAACTACGGTTACAGGTATGTTTGCTGCAAACACACAAGAAAGGAATATTTTACAAATCTATCACAAGCTGCTATGTTTCGGTGTAAATATGCATTTATAGAATATTAGCTTGGGTACCTGGTTATTTGAAAAAGTCAATTTTTAATTGTACAAAATGCATAAGGTTGTGGGTGAACTACAACTCACATCATGCAAGGTTAACCCTGAAAAAGTCAATCAGTACTTATTTTTTGTGTTGAGCAAGTTTGCTTTAGATGCATCGTTGGTGAGGTTCATTGTGCTTTCTGACTGCAGGGTAAACTACAACTCCCACTATGGTTAGTCAGTCCCCTCAAACCCCTCCAGTAGGTTGAGTTAGTCACAGGGGTTCTGTGTGCCAAGCTTGGTCCAGATCCATCATCGGTGGAGGTCATAGTTTCTCTGGTTTGGGTGAACTACAACTTTCAGAAAGGAAAGTCAGTTTCCCCCAAACCTCTTCATCAAACAATGTTGCATTTGGCCACCTTGATTATCACTGAATGCCCATGCAGCTTCACAGCCTGGCTGCTTCCTGCCTGGGGGAACCCTTTGTTTGAGATACCCTCAGACAGCCACCAATCAAGTATCAGTTAACACCTCCCAAGCAAAGTATGCCCCCAGGCAGGAACCACCCATGCTTTGAAGGTGCAAGGCCATTCAATACCAATCAAGGTGGCCAATTGCAACATTCCACGGATATATAACCTCACTTGCCTAGTTTCCAACAGACCTTGCAATCTCCAAGAATGCCTGCCATAGATGTGGGCGAAACATCAGGAGAGAACGTTTCTGGAACGTGACCATACAGTCTGCAAAACTCACAGCAGCCCAATATTTTATTTATTACCCACCTTTCTTTTTGACTTAAGACGAAATACATCTACAAAATCACTTATTAAAACATAGTTAAAATGCAACCACAAAAGCATACACCTGAGACAAAGGTTAAAACACAATAATCAGAGAATGTGATTTTAAAGTCTCAATTGTTTTGAAATTGCTAAAGTTGGACTAGAATACTCATTGTGTCTTCCTAATCGGCCCCTTACAGTACTTTCCAGGATCATACAAGAAACTTCACAGTAGTGCTGTGAGCTTTGGAAATGTTTTTTTAAAAAAGGCCTGGAGCTTTTAACTATTTGTTTAAGTCATATTTCCAGTTTTCTTAATTAACAAATGGCACAATTTTTACATTTTCTTCTTTTCAGCAGTGGCAAAAAGACAAAGAAAAAGAAGAATGCAAGAGCAAATGTTGCCAAAATAAAAGGTGCAAAGAAGACAAAAACTGCAAGACATACGAAGAACAAAAAATAGAAAAACTCATCTTTGCAGCAGTGTTGTTATTAAGCAGACTGATTTAGGGCTTTGTTTTTGCACATATTGTACTGTTCACTAAAAATGGCATTAAAAGACTTCGCAAAAAAGGTCAGCTTGCTAATGTGCTAAAAGTAAACACTATTATATGTTTATAGCCACATACACTATTCAGTGTTTTGCGGGTGAATTTGGAGAATTCAGTGCAATTCAATCATATTGTATAAAGGTGAATATATGTATTTTTGTATTTAAAAAATTGCCTCTTTGGTGCCATCTTCATTTTTGTTCATCACTTGGGAGGATTTGAATACTCTGAACAGCTAAGAAGAAGTTGCAAAGTACTGTAAGACATAGGCCATTGACCACTTATCCTTAAAGCCAATCTAAGGGGCAAAGGCTGGATTGACCTATGATGGCTTAGACCTGCTTTTCCTTTTCAATCTCTCTGTTCAGCATCAAACCAGGCGATGAGTGCCCAATACAAATATATGCACATATAAATGTAGTGGTTTTTTAAATGCCACTGGAGAGTTCCTTTGGAAGTGGTTGATTTGTGATGGCTTTGATAGTACTCTGTTTGCATTTTGCAAAGATGCTGCCTCTTCCCCAAACCAACCTGAACTATGTTTCACAGTAACTTTGTAATCTCCACATACCTTCACATTATGGCATAATTTCAGCACAGGGATAGATAGAACTATGTAACACAATTTTTGTTCCTGGATTATAAATGTCATTTCCTAATTGGTTTTATTATAACAACATGGAAAACTAAACTATATGGAACATGAAAGGCACTGCAGACTAATTCAACCAGAGAAATCAAGCCATAGCAAAGTACTTGATGAACCAGCCTGGACACAGCATATTATTTAAGGACACAGAAATGCTGGACCACTTGAACAACCACTACACAGATAAGCCACTGAAATCCAAAAGCATGTGGATAATTTCAACAGAAAGGAGGAAACCGTGACATTGAACAAAATCTGGCTACCAGTAAAGAATAACGCTCAGAAAATGGGAATTCCAGACAAGAAACAATCAGGGCCAGCTAACGCCTCCCAACAAAGGATTCCCCAGGCAGAAAGCAGCCAGGCTTTGAAGCTGCAAGGCTTTTGTTTATTTGTTCAGTTGCTTCTGACTATTGGTGACCTCACGGACCAGCCCACGCCAGAGCTCCCTGTCCACCGTGGCCACCCCCAGGTCCTTCAAGGTCAAGTCAGTCACTTCAAGGATACCATCCATTCATCTTGCCCTTGGTCGACCCCTCTTCCTTTTTCCTTCAATTTCCTCCGGCATCATTATCTTCTCCAAAATTTCCTGTCTTCTCATTATGTGGCCAAAGTACTTCATCTTGCCTCGAATATCCTTCCCTCCTGTGAGCAATCAGGGGTATCAAGGTAGCCAATTGCAACATCCACACTTGCCTCCAACAGACAAGAGTTCTTTCTCCTACCCGGGACGTTCCATGGATATATAAACCTCACTTGCCTTGTTTCCAACAGGCCTCAGCAGTTTAACCCACTGCACCACCAAACTGAATCCATACTGTAGAATTAATGTAGACTGGCACCATTTGGACTGCAATGGGATATAATTTTGGGATTTGCAGTTTGGTACAGCTCCAGCATTCTCTGGCAGAGAAGACTGAAGAACCTACTAAAACTCCAACTCCCAGGATTCCCTAGCAATTAAACAGGTTGAGGATCCCTGTTGCTAAATTTTGGTGACTGCAACAGCAGTGGATTAGAATTAGAAAGTATGCCTTGCAGCAGGATCAGATCTCTTGTCTTTGGAAGGTTCTGAGGATGCATCTGCATTGCAGAATTAATGCAGCCTGTCCCCACTTTAACTGAAGTGGCCAGTTCAGTTAAAGTGGGGACAGGCTGCATTAATTCTGCAATGCAGATGCATCCTCAGAACCTTCCAAAGACAAGAGATCTGATCCTGCTGCAAGGCATACTTTCTAAGGATGCAGTATGGCCTTTCGACCGCTAGATGGCGCAAGGCAAACCCTCTTACAGGAAGTGCTGGATGGTGATGCTTCTGCTTGCAAAAGCCCGGGAAGGAAGTGGAGCTGTGTTTCATTGCAGTGCAGAGTGACAACCGAGCAGGAGGAAAGAGGGTATGATGTGGTTGGATTGGTCACATTTTTCAAAATAGGATGCTTCTATTCGATTCCTTGCAGGCACCTCTCCATCAGGGAGTGCTCTCTTACAGAGAGATTTAATTAAACAGGTTGAGGATCCCTGTTGCTAAATTTTGGTGACTGCAACAGCAGTGGATTAGAATAAGAAACTTGCATGAGGTGCTATATTTCAGAGAAAAGCCATTGCAAACCACCTTTCAGTCGTCCTTGCCTAAGGCCCCTTCTACACAGCCCTATATCCCAGGATCTGATCCCAGATTATCTGCTTTGAACTGGATTATGTGAATCTACACTGCCAGATAATCTGGGATAAGAAGATAATCTGGAATCAGGTCCTGGGATATACGGGCAGCATAGATCTAATCCAAGAAAACTATGAGATTCGTAGGATTGCCATTAATTGACAGCTTGATGATACAAATATATTCACAAACACAATGGCTGAAATTCTGATACTCTAAATTTGAGATGGCCTGTTGAATCAAGACCTAAGTGATCCAACTTGTAAGTAAATAAAAATTATTATTTATTTATTTCAGACATTTATATCCTGTCCTATCTCGACCTCTGCAGAGGGACTCAGCGGCTGACAACAAAAGCATATATATATATATATATATATATATATATATATATATAAATATATAGCCGTCCCCTGCCATGCGTTGCTGTGGCCCACTCTGGTGGTCATGGGGTCTGTGTGGGAGGTTTGGCCCAATTCTGTTGTTGGTGGGGTTCAGAATGCTCTTAGATTGTAGGTGAGCTATAAATCCCAGCAACTACAACTCCCAAATGTCAAGATTCTATTTCCCCCAAACTCCACCAGTGTTCACATTTGGGCATATTGAGTATTCGTGTAGAGTTTGGTCCAGATCCATCATTGTTTGAGTCCACAGTGCTCTCTGGATGTAGGTGAACTACAACTCCAAAACCAAAGGACACTGCCCACCAAACACTTCCAATATTTTCTGTTGGTCATGGGAGAACTGTGTGCCAAGATTGGTTCAATTCCATTGTTGGTGGAGTTCAGGATGCTCTTTGATTGTAGGTGAACTATAAATCCCAGCAACTACAACTCCCAAATGACAAAAATCAATTTTTTGAGTGAAGGACATACATTGGACTGTTAGGTGTATTGTGTCCAAATTTGGTGTCAATTCGTCCAGTGGTTTTTAAGTAATGCTAATCCCACAAACGAACATTACATTTTTATTTAGATAGATAGATAGATAGATAGATAGACAGACAGACACACATCGTAAAAACAGTAAAACAATTGATTCAGTGGACCTACTCTAGGTCGGGCTAGCAAATTTAGGCCAATCTTGTCTATCATGTGGCATGGAGGAGCCTGGGATGAGGACCTTTTCGTGGTTAGTAAATACTAGAAGAAATATTAGATGCATATTCAGGATTCTTTGCCACCAATACATAAAGGGAAGAATGGAAGATTGGATAAATATACATTCTTCTCAATACAAAGCTAGCTTTAATACTTCTGTTTTGGCATTCATTTAAATATATTGTGTTAATAAGGAGCCTCTGTGGTGCAATGGGTTAAACCCTTGTGCCAGCAGGACTGCTGACCGAAAGGTCAGCAGTTCAAATCTGAGGAGTGGGGGAGCTCCCATCTGTCAGCTCCAGCTTCTCATCAAAGAAGCCTCCCACAGGATGGTAAAACATCCGGTCATCCCCTTTGGAAATGTTTTTGCAGACGGCCAATTCTCTCGCACCAGAAGCAACTTGCAGTTTCTCAAGCCGCTCCTGACATGGAAAAAAAAATAACCTCATCCTGGGCTGTATCTTTTTATTTTAGGGAATTACCACATCTGCAGCCATGCCTGCTTTCCGGCAGGTTGGAGAGAAGCAACTGCCCCAAGAGATCATTTTCATGGCTTGGTCTCCCAAGAGGGATCTGATTGCCTTGGCCAACAAAGTTGGAGAGGTAAGGAAAGTGAACAGTGCTAAGAACGAGTATATGTGGAAAAGATGGGGTGCTGAATGAGTCCGCTCTCTGATTTTGTAAAAAAAATTGTATTCTCTCTACAACGTAAGTAAATATAGCATGACATTCATATTATAGAAAGTAACTGCCCATACAGCCCGGAAAACTCACAGCAAACCAGACACCACTTTTAAACCCAAGAGAACATCCTTTTATGAATGTCTAGGTCCTCTAGCACAACTTTGTGATCAACTTCCGTCAGGAGAACATATTACTTAAATCCATGAATAATAAAATCCAAAAAGGTCAGCTCACAAGTGTGGAAGGGTCATCATGGAGTTGGCAGAGACCACAAGGGCCATCCAGCTGCCTTGTATTTGTTTAAGATGAGTTTGACCATAACACTATGTAGTACAATTTTTGTTTCCTAAATGTCATTTCCTAATTGGTTCTATCATAAAAACATGGAAAAGGTTGATTATCTTGCAGTAGATTTTGCTATAGTTTTTCAATAAATATCTCATTGAGTCTCAACCAATTCAACATAGTTTGTGGCAACCACAAAAACAACGGTACTTATTACTTTCATAGTAAGTACCACACAATTAAACAGGAAATAACCCTTTCACACCAGGATCAACATTTTTTTCAAATTTTGATACATAGTGTAATTTAGCACTAGCACATTGACAATGTCATACTGCCATGGAAATCGATGCAGATTTTCTAAAACAATTTTTGTTAGGATACATTTGTAATATTATGTTGCCATAACAGATGATGTTGGCTGCTGTGGAGTTTTAATGCATTTTTCCTGCTGTTAGGTGTTCTGAAAACACTTCTCTCTTTTGTGCTCGTTCATTTTGTTTTCTCTGGAGGCAGACAGTTTAAATACTTTCATTTCATTTCCCAACATTATCTTAGGTTTTACTTCACCGTCTTGCAAACTTTCAACGAGTCTGGAGTCTGCCACCAAGTGACAGTACAGGGAAAGATGTGACGGCCCTCGCATGGAGACCAGATGGCAAAAGTAAGATGTAACAAATGATCCTTTGTATCATGAATTACACTATGTAACAAAATTTGAAAGTTCTTCTGTTCCTGGTTTGAAAGTATTATTTCCCATATAATTGCGCAGTACTTACTTTGAACTTCGTGTTTGTGGCTGCGACAAGCTATGTTGAATTGATTGACACTCAATGAGATATTCATTGAAAAACTATAGTAAAATGTACAGCAGGATGCCCGGCAAAAACACATTTTTTCAGTTTAATAAAACTTTTCCATGTTTTTATGATAAAACCAATTAGGAAATAACATTAATAACCCAAGAACAAAAATCGTGTTACATAGTGTTATGTTTTAAGTGAAATTGTGCTCTTAAGGCACATGTCATCCATTCACTGCATAAGACGCATCCTTCTTGCCAGTCTTTAAAAGAAAAAAAAAATTCTGTTTAATATCAAAACTTATGACTAATGGATTTGCCTTATGTTCCAGACTACATTTGTATACTGATTGTATTTCACAGTTCTTGTAAACATTTCTAAAGTCTTCTGCTGTTTGCAGTTAATATTTGTTAAGTGCACTATATATTTTCATGTTTTACCTTTCCTTCCATAGTTTTGGCTTTTGGACTTGCTGATACCAAGAAAGTCATCCTGTGTGATGTGGAGAAACCAGAGAGTTTGCATTCTTTCTCAGTGGATTCTCCTATTACTTACATGCACTGGATGGAAGTTACAGAAGAAAACAGGTAGGCAGGAGACAAAGACTTATTGGTGCCCATTCATCCAATAATTTGTGTAACAAGAATTCCTTCCAGATTACCAAAGCAGCCAAGCCAGTCCTGCTATTAGTGAGTTGCACTCCAGGCCTGGAAACTCCTATGACCACCACACCACACAAGAGCCCAGGAATAAAAGCAGCTTATTGTAAAAACATATAAAAAGCATATAAAAATCAAGAATAAGAAAGGAAGATATATAATTCAAAAAGGTTTAGCAAAAGGTCATAACCCAATAATAATCCAAATGTTTCATAGAGTTCCAGAGATGATAAAATCCAGAAACAGCCAGGAATCACAGATATAGCATAAGTCCACAATCAGGAAGGTTTAACTAGTAAAAACAGGAGTACAAGAACAGGAACATAGAAACTTCTAGGATATATTAAATCCAAAATCAAAGCTTGACTTGAACCAGGAACAAGAGAACTTAGGCTTAGCTTCTCACTCTAACTCAATGTTGTCTGGACTGACCTTAAGGTAAACAACTTGTTGTTAATAGACCCCCATGAAATCATTCACTTTCTTGTGAATTTTTCCACAACTTTCCTATGTAATCTCTCTGACTGATGCAATCTATTTTTGGCTCTGATTTGTAAACAAAGACTTTTATTGATCTCTGTAGCTGCAGGTGGGTTCCCATGGGAACCCTCCTTATCACTCAGCTCTTCACCTAATTCCTTGTCTGCTGTTGCTACTTCTGTCTCCCCGAATGCCCTTGAGGCCCTGCACTTTCTGGAACTAGCTATTTCTGCATCTGCTTTGTATTTGTGTTCTCCCAAATTTCCCTAATACTTTGTATGCTTTAAAATCCAAAACCGAAAAGGACAGCACTTGAAAAAAATTGAAACTATATGTTGTCTAAATATCCTAAAAGAATTACATTCTGTTTTTGATCTAGACATTAAGCAGGGTTCGTTCTGCGTAACATTTGGATGGGAGATCACCAACAAAAAGTACCAGATATTGTACGTTATATTTCTGAGAAAGGAATTAGCAGACTATTTCTGAGTATTATCTTACTAAGAAGATGCTATACAATTCATGAGGTTGCCATAAGTTAGCAGCCAACTTGAAGGCACATAAAATTATTATTATTATTAAAAACTTTTATATCCCGATCTTCTCTACCTCTGTGGAGGGACTCGGACCGGCTAACAGCAGAAATGTAATGCACAAATACATCTAAAACATAAAATCATAATAAATTAAAATATAGACAGAATAAATACATACATTGTGGCGATGAAGAAACAACAGTATGGGGATTTTATATTTGTACTTACTAAAAATACCATTTTAAAATGAATGAATTAAATAATAGCTATATTTTAAGACTGCTAAGAATAAAGATTCTGCCTCAATCCTGAGTTCTACCATGTTTAATTTTAATTTTGGAATGAGTACTGCCAAAATCAAAAATGTCTCCTTTCATTTCAGTGTCCTGACTTCATTTTATGATGCTGAAGATGAATCTAATCTTCTCCTTCCTAAGCTACCTCCCTTGCCAAAAAAGTAAGTGTCATGTTTTCTGTGATTCAGCAGAGTTTTCTTAGTTTTAAGACTCCAAAACACATACCAAAGCTTTCGGAATTTAAATCAAGGCACTGTTATTACTGGGACAGACTCTAATAATTATATTGTAACTTATATATTGTAACTCTGATGTCTCCCACTTTTGCACAATATTTGCAATGCAGACTCATTCATGCATATCTCTTCAGACTAGTTTTAGTGAGATAGACCAGGGTTATTCTTAGACCCCTGTGCATGGGATTGCCAGCCTAGACACTGGATGTCAGGCCCATTTGACCAGCTAGCATTTGTTTCTGAGAACATTTGCTTCATATTTACTGTTTTAACCTCTTTGGTTAGGCACCTCAACAAATGGCTAACAGGATTGTAGGAATATAGGAAGCCACATTATAATGAGTCATTCTATTGGTCCATTCTGTAGCATTGTCTACACTGGCTGGATTTCAGATAGGAATCTTCGTAAACTCAGTGAGGAGATGAAAGAGAATCCCTAATTTCTTCAGCACAATTTGATTCCCATCTGGGGACCTAAAAATCCTAGGAGACAACTTCTCTCAGATTAAAAAAAATAGTGGTTTTTTTATTCACAGTTTTTCCTATTTCGTAGAAGCCCTGCACCTCAAACCCAGCAAATGTGGAGGGCTGACTGTAGTATAAAATTATTTTATTATTTACAGAAATGTACAATTAACTTTACCAAGGAGATATCACTAATGTGCTTAATTTTTCTTTTCCTTTTTAAAATATAGTTATAGTACCACTGCAAAAATCTTCAGGTACAACACTTTTGATGTTTTCATCTTTCTATTTATGCATTCTGAATTTTTGAGAACAAGTGTGTTGCAATTGATGTGTTAATGTTGTTGTTTTATAGTGAAGAAAAATCTGATGAAATTATGAAACTCATGGGCGATGTCAGGTAAAGGTTTCTCCTATTTGTTTCGCTACTGTTCTGCATTGTACTCTGGAAAACATTTTAGTGTGCCGACTTAAAGTAGACCTTTGATTCTTTCTCTGGAGTGCTGTCCTCAGCCTGGCAACAGTAATGTTTTTGCTTTCTCAATTCGCCCAGATTTTTAAAAGTTTTGAAAGCGTTAGGATTTTGGAAAAATGGCATTCATAACCTTTTTGAAAAGAAAAATGATGTCATATCTTTTTGGCAAATGTGAACCTCTATGAACATCTGGAGACCACCTTTTGAAAACCACTAATCAAGGAAAGGCATGACCTTGTTAGAATACAATACAGGTTAGAAAATATATACATTAATAAACAATACAAGTTAGCAAATATATACATTAACAAACAAATAGTGAAGGTTTGGAAGGTTGCTGTTTCCAACATATGAAATGTGGGTGATCAGTCTGCTTTTTTGGGCCATTTGGTATTTTATTTTTGCAGTGTTTTTTGGAGTTGTAAATATCCCTGAAACTGTTGGAAATAGCAGCTTTCTACAAGCCTCCTATACTAGTTGTTTGTTGTGTATAAAATTCAGATTGCTTACTGTATTGTATATGTGTGTATTGGTATGTGGTTTTCCTTAACTCTTTGTTGTGGGAGGGGCTGAAGACCATGTGATCGGAACCGGGACTATTCAGGACTCAGACTCAATTTTAGAAACAGTATGTTTTTATCCGCCATTAGACTCTCAGACTGTACTCCTTTGGACTTCCAGACTAGACAGAGACTCTGTTAGACTCTCAGAACAGAGAGATGCTTTAGACTTTGGATTGTTGATATGCAAAGATGTCCTGTGTTATTTGCACAAAGAAACTACTTCAAATGTTACCTGTAACTGGATTGATGTGCAAAGTACCTGTATGTTGAATACATGAAGTTTGTGAGTAAACCAACTATGTTATTTGAAAGAAGTGTACTTATTTTGGTCTCTTAAGAGCATGATTTAAACCAAGGTGTTTTAAGGGAGAGTAGATGTTTTGGGGCAACTGAAATAACACTTCTGAAACTTTGTTCTCTCTCTCTATGTGTGTGTGTGTGTTTGTGCATTGGCATATCTTTGTCCCTATTCAAAGAGATATCTAAGAATATCAGTTTAACAGCTTTCCTATATACCAGATTGTTCTCCCTCTATCATTGTTATATCATAAAATTGCACAAAAAAAATATTATTTTAAAAAAAGAATATCAGTTTAACAGTTGAGAAACCTAATTGCCTTGCATGAATACTAGTGGATATTTACCACTATGGAGAAGGTTTACTCAAGCGAGTTTTTAAATCTTCTCAGGGAGAGTCCATTTCCCAAAAGGTTATGGTGAATGCCATTTTCCAAAAGGTTTATGGCATCATTTCTAACAAGGTCATGCCTTTTCCAAAAGAAACCAGTTTTCAGATCAGGCGATATATAAATATTTTAAAGAAATGCATAGGAAAAACAAGTAACACAGATCTGTTTCCTTTACTTAATGGATTAATATGTTTTCTCCCTCTCTCTTTTTTTTTAAAGACTGAACGCTCTGGTGCTTGGAGGCAATGATGGATTTATTGAGATCTATGCTTATGGGATGTATAAAATTGCTACAGTAACAGGGGTAAGTATGGACTGTTTAATATTGATGATATGCTGACCATGGGTAGAAATGACCTCCCCAAAGAGGTTCATTACACTTTGTAACATGATTTTTGTTCTTGGATTATAAATGCCATTTCCTAATTGGTTCTTTCATAAAAACATGGGAAAAGTTTATTAAACTGCAAAAAACCCCATTGTTTTTGCAGGACATCCTGCAGCACATTTTGCTATAGTTTTTCAACAACTATCTCATAGAGTCTCAACCAATTCAACCAATGGCAGTTTTGCTCCACAATGGTTTTGCTTGTCTTGCTTCCTTGTGCCTTTGGTTTTAGCTCCTGTTTTGTGAGTTACATTTATGTCAGCAGGCCATGACCACAAAAATTTGCCAAAACTACCTTTTATCTTGGTATTATTAGTCACCTTCTAATCTAACATTTTGTTTTGGGATTCTTCTTTGCCTTCTTTGAAGAGTTTGTCCAATAGGCTGTAGCTCTCCGTTTTTAATTCCAGCATTAATTATTAAACTGTTTGTGGTATCTCCTTAATGATTATGAGGAAAGTCATTGAAAGTCAGAAGAAAGAAAGGCATAGACTGATCATGTTCAGCGTAGTTTGTACCTAAAGCCTAACCATTACTTTGTACCATGGATTTTTGCAGGTAATTGGTTCTTGTCTCGCCCTTTGTTTATCGAGCGACTTGAAATCACTCTCAGTTATTACTGAAGTAGAGGTTTCTCCAGAGAGTGATCCAGAAATAACTTATTTCCAAGTAAGTTAAACTCAGCAGCAATATTTTAAAAATTATCTCAGTTATTTCATTTCCTCAAATTATGTACATAATGAGATATTTTGGAGATGGCACCCTAGAAGTAGTTTTGTCACAATATTTTAAGTAATGTTGTGCCTGAAACAAATTTTATGTGCATTGAAGGGTTGGAAAAGCCAAAGTGTCAATATCTCAGCTACTCATGTGTGCAATTTTGGATTTTGGAGCATTTTGGATTTCAGAAATCTGAATAAGGAATGCTTTACATGTTCACAGATTCCATGAATGTTCTAATTAGCTACATCCATGAATATTAAATGTGTGTAAAGCACTTTACGTCAGTGCAGTTTCTTGAAAAATGAGTGAAAATGTTCTAATTCTGATTTGCAAGAAAATAAGATTTTTATCAGTGCAGTTTCATCTTGTACTTTTCATAACTCTTAAATATATGGAGAGAATTATGAGTTAGCTTCTCTTTGTAGCTGCTGATACCTGATGATCACACCTTTTGAGGAACATGTTACCTATAGGCCTTCATTGTGGGGGTGGGGGGTGGGAATGCTAATTGATCATGTTTCCTGTTTTGGGGCAAGACAGGCCTATAGCATATGCATATTTATTGACACTACTGATGTATAAGCTGCCAATGCATGCGTTTTCATTGAATGGGGAGCCAGTCTGACATTTTCAGCAACTTCTTCAGATGTCTGATGCACAAGGATACTGAACAGTTGAACATAGCTATAGTTTTAATTGCTTGTCCTTCCCTGTTACTCTAGATCAGCGATTCCCAAACGGTGTTCTGTGGAACTTAAGGTTCTGCAAAAGGATTGTAGGGGTTCCATAATTAATATTTTATATCTTTTGAAAAACTAGTTTTAAAAAAATCCATGCCATAGTATGAAGATCTTATTGAAATTCAGTGCACCCCCTGATCTAAAAGCAAAATTTGAATCTGTGCCACTGAATGACTGAGGAGTAGGACTACTGATAGACATATTGCAGCCAATAGCTGGAAAGGCTATCCAAGCAGTGGGTTGCTGTGAGTTTTCCAGGCTGTATGACCATGTTCCAGAAGCATTCTCTCCTGATATTTCGCCCACATCTATGGCAGGCATCCTCAGAGGTTGTGAGATCTGTTGGAAACTAGGCAAGTGAGGCTTATATATCTGTGAAATGTCCAGGGTGGGAGAAAGAACTCTTGTCTGTTTGAGGCAGGTGTGGGTGTTGCGTTTGACCACCTTGATTAGTGTTGAGTGGCCTGGATGCTTCCTGCCTGGGAGAATCCTTTGTTGGGAGGTGTCAGCTGGCCCTGATTGTTTCCTGCCAGGAATTCCCCAGTTTTTTTTAGTGTTGCTCTTTATTTATTGTCCTGATTTTAGAGTTTTTAAATACTGGTATCCATATTTTGTTCATTTTCATGGTTTCCTCCTTTCTGTTGAACTTGTCCAAGCAATATCCACTTTTCAAAGTGAATCAGGCTTTCGGAGTAATTGGATGCTGCCCCAGATTTATGTATTCTGCTGTCAGACTTAAAGCCTGATTTTCAAATTATTATTTTAAGTATAAAAATGAAACAATTTCATTCATCACTGTAGGTGTGAATCTAGTATTTTCCTCTCCAAAATAAAAGTTTGTGGTTATAGCCAATATTTTCTTTTAACAAAATAAAGGTTTGGTTATATTTAAAATATTTTCTCTTTATTTCCAAACCTACTGCATTATAAAAACATGTGTGCAACAGGAACAAAACTTAGGAACAAAGTTAAGGTTCTATGGGAAAATCGGGGAGAAAGTTAGGGTTCCGTGAGGGGAGTGTTCGAAAGGGTTCAATTACTGAATAGGTTGAAAACTTTTGCTCTAGATATCTATGCTCAACATGTTAGATCAACTGATTAGACCTTTCTTCTTTTATCTAGTTGGACACTAGTCTGTTATCCACCTATTTACCAGAAGTGACTAGAATGGCTCGAAAATTTACTCATATTTCAACTCTTCTGCAGGTATGGTTTTGATGCCTGGTTTTAATATATGCTTTTAAAATAATCCTCTTCTTCATATTGACAAAGGTACAATCTGTGCTCTGGATTAAACCCTCTGCAGGAAATGTGCTCTCTTTTGGTATAGCCAGCTACATAAGTGGTGGCAAATTTAATTGAAAATAAGATCCACAAGATCTGCTTTGAACTGAGTCTACACTGCCATATAATCCAGCTCAAAGCAGATAATCTGGATTTTATATGGCAATGTAGAAAGAGCCCAAGAGACTCTCCTATCTGAATTGGGGATCAAACTGCCAATGTCATTTTCTTTCTTTACGTAATTCAAAATAAGAAATTGATTTTAAAATATGGTAATTCTGGCATTATGCTACTTTACATTTCAAGTTACAATCCTTTCATCTCATATGATGGTGGTAGTATAGTAAGTGTGTGAATATTGTTTTAGTATAAAGACTGGTTTTAATTAAGTCCTTTTGGCAAAAATGGCTTTAGTTTCCAATGTTTTGAGAAAACACACTAACTTTTGTTTTTCTCTATTTGTAAATAGTACATAAAGCTTTCTCTGACATGTATGTGTGAAGCTTGGGAAGAAATATTGATTCAGATGGATTCACGGCTAACCAAATTTGTGCAGGTATTGGTGATGACACAAACATTCATTTCAAATGTAGAGTTTCAAAAACACTAAGCAATGTTTCTTGTCTGTTTTAAGAATGACAGCCATGTTATTTACGTTGATGCTCTGTTCAAAAGTTGGCAGTCGGAGCTGTACGGGTGCTTAGTATAAATACAGTGCCTGCAAAAATCAAGAAGTGTTTTGAGATCTTAGAATTTTTAAGGACATCTGAAGGAATATCTAGAAAATTCTAAAGCAGAAGTGTGAGAATCATTTTCATTGAGGGCCACATCAATCTTATGGTTGCCTTTAAAGGGCTGTTGAATCCATGGAGTTAGAATCCATGGAGACAGAGGAACAACTATATATACACACACACACACATACATAGTGGTCAGTGCCCTTTAGTTTTTACTCAGTTTGGGTCCCCAGTTGTTATTGAGTGACAACTCCCATCACTTTTGCTTATCTGTCTTGTGGATGGGTGATAATGGGAATTGCAACCCAACAGAACTTGTGGCTGTGAGGTTGGGGAAAGGTTAAAGGACATTCTAGAGTCAAACATCACATCCACCAACCTTATATCTAAATTCAAACCCCTGACTCTCCTGACTAAACAGAATTAACTGCAGCCCTTCAGATGTTACTACATCACAACTCCCATCAGCTCTAGTCATGATATCTAATGATATCATGGTGTTGTAGTCCAGCATCTGGGGGGCCACAGAAATGACATGGCGGGTTGGATTCGACCAGCAGACCTTGAGTTTGACATATATGTCCTAAAAAGTATTCATACCTCCATCTTCTGTTTTCAGGAAAAGAATACAACCACTTCTGTACAAGATGAATTCATGCAGTTATTGTTGTGGGGCAAAGCTAGGTAGGTATTAGAATCATGCATTTTTTTCCAGATTTGTGCATTATTCACAATGAAAATGTGGCTGCTTACAAAGCAATTCCGTTTTTTATGCAGTCTTGAGCTTCAAGCCCTGTTGATGAATCAGCTCACAGTCAAGGTATGTTAAGCTGTACGTTGTTATTTTTCAAGTGGCATTTGGTTAACTTGCACTGGTAAATGCAACATCTCTTCCAACAGGGCTTAAAAAAACTTGGCCAGTCCATGGAATCCTCATACTCCAGTATTCAAAAACTTGTCATAAGTCACCTGCAAAGGTAAAAAAATAATTGATCAATTCTGTTTGCTTGTGACATGTTAGTAAGCCATACCTTACCAACATGACATATGCTGAGTTATACCTCCACTGTCTGCAGACATCATGGCCATTGGCCTGCATATCTTGAAGGTGTCAGGAGAGGGAAGATGGTAATAAACATGCATTTTGGTTGATAAATGAGAATACAGTAGAGGCTGATTTTTGTCTGGAATCCTCCTACTTTTGAATGATGCTACCATTATTTAAAAAAACTCTAAAATCAGCAACAGTCAAAAAGCAGGGAAATTTCTGACAAGAATCAATCAGGGCCAGCTAACACCTCCCAACAAAGGATTCTCCCAGACAGCAACCAGCCAGGCTTTGAAGCTTCAAGGCCATTAAATGCGAATCAAGGTGGCCAATTGCAACATTCACACTTGCCTCAAGCAGACAAGCGTTCTTTCTCCCACGATGGACATTCCACAGATATATAAACCACACTTGCCTAGTTTCCAACAGACCCCACAACCTCTGAGGATGCCTGCTATAGATGTGGGTGAAATGTCAGGAGAGAATGCTTCTGGAACATGGCCATACAGCCCAGAAAACCCTTAGTAGCATAGTGATTCTGGCCATGAAAGCTTTCAACAACACAATTATTTTATCAATTTTTATTTTCAAAGACTTCAATGTTATATTGAGCATGATGGCAAATCTTTTATTCAACAATTTGTTATCTTTCCTTGGCAGTGGCTCAGAAGCCTTGCTCTATCATTTAAGTGAACTTAAAGGAATGGCAGCGTGGAAACAAAAGTATGAGTGTCTAGGATTGGATGCCTCAGGAATAGAAGGTACAAGGTTAACTCTTTAGCTGTCACTTTAATAGCAAATTCAGTGGACTTTAGGTGACTATAAACTCTTTCTTTGCAGAAGCAGTTACTGCAGTGGGTTCCTTCATCCTGAAAGGAAATGAGCTACTTCAGTATGTATTACTCTAAGCCAGTGGTTCTCAACTTGTGGGTCCCCAGATGTTTTGGCCTCCAACTCCTAGAAATCCTAACAACTGGTAAACTGACTGGGATTTCTGGGCGTTGTAGGCCAAAACACCTGGGGACCCACAGGTTGAGAACCACTGCTCTAAATCATTATATGCAATGACTTTATACCTTTTAAAATACAGTTTACTAATTCAACAATTGAAACGCATGAAGATGTTGTTCAAATACTATAGCATTCTAGTTTTTTAGTGTCCAGAAGCATAGATTCAATTTTTGGCAGATAATTCTCATTTTTAGTCACTCAAAAAGCAGTGTGCCTTGTTACAGGATCATTGATCAACCTTACAATGTTTATATAAGTATCAGTAATACAATATAAGAAAAAATATTTTGAATACTCTGAATCGGTATGCACATAGGGAAAATTTCACTGGTTAAAACTGATGCCAATAATGAAAGATCCAACATAGGTGCAGCTTTTGGAATTCCTGTTATTCTGCAAATAATAATAATAACAACAACAACAACAACAAATCCAAGTCAAGAATCCATAGGCTTTTGCCATCTCCATATGAGGCATTCTTTCCCTTCTGTAAGTCACCATACATAGGGGAAATGGAAAATTGTAGCTAAATGTACTTTCATTTACAAAATATTCTCTGTGTGTTGGCCATCTCACAAAGTCAAAAATTTAATTAAAATATAAAATATTAGTTTGTTAATTTTTCCTATGTGCAGGGACTTTGGGGATTCTTTCAATGTCTGTGGCTAAGGGCTGTTATGTCTTCAGGGTGTCGCAGGAACCAATCATGTCATTCCATTCTTATTCTTTCTGTACAGAGTTATTGACAGCAGTATGAAAAATTTCAAAGCTTTTTTCCGGTGGCTCTATGTGGGTAAGTAAAGTGATGCTACTGTATATACTCATGTATAAGTCAAGAAATATATATAAATAAAAATGTAATGTTCGTTCGTGGGATTAACATAACTCAAAAACCACTAGACGAATTGACACCAATTTTGGACAAAATACGCCTATCAGGCCAAGAAGTGACCATCACTCATAAAAACACTGAAAAACATAGCAGAAGAGACTTTAAAAGCCAAAAAAACAAAAAAAATGCATTACAACACATGTGCAAAACCACATATATACACAAACACACATATATACACATACATACAAATATATGCACATATATACACACACAAAACACATATGCACAGACTGGGCCACAACAACGTGTGGCAGGAGATGGCTAGTGTTAATAAAAATTACAAACCGCAATGGAGCTTTCCCTTCTCCACAGTATAGCCCTCAACTTATGTCTGGGTCAAATCAAAATCCATCATTTTGGTCCCCAAACCTGCTCTGGATTTTTACATGAGTAAACTTGTACACAAGTATATATGGTAATTATTATAGATAGGGAACAGATGAGTCTATAATAAGTTCAAAAAATAAGCAAAGAGTTCTCAAATCTGTATGAGACTATCTGAGTGATATGTAAGATAACATTGCAGTGCTTGGTAATTTAGACACATCCTAGATAAACACTTCACTTGACTTTCTGAAGGAAACTTATATCTGTATGCAGTTGAGATGTAAGCAACTTTGTAGACTGAGAGCAATATATGAAGCTGCGAATAAGTATATTTAGATATTGCCATGGCATGAACTCATGAAATGGCCACAAGTGAGTTTTCAACATTTCGTGCTGAGAGCTGTTGGTTCTGGTTCCTTACAACATTTTGTTTTTTACATATGAGTTGAGAGAATGCAAGCTCCAAGAATAAAGAAACAGTTGAAGCATGTAGAGACTCTGGTTCCAGAGTAATGACTAGCATGTAAGCATTTCCTTTCCTTGCTCCCTTATTCTAGCTATAGCTTTGGAGAAATTGACTTTCCTATTTTCAAACTTACAGAAGGTGGAATTGTAAGAAGGGGATGTAAAATAACATCTTCAGATTGTCTTGTTCCTATTTTTATTTTCCAGCTATGCTGAGGATGTCAGAGGATCATGTCCCTCCAGAACTAAACAAGGTAGTACTAATGTGGTCGACCATGCATGTTCAGTAACAGGTCTATCTAACTTCTGGTTCACCAAAGTCAATTTGGCCTAACATTAAAAATCTGCATGCCATTCTAGCTGCTTCTTTCACCTCCTTTCCTTGTCCATGTTGTTGAAATTTTAAGCAGCCAATAAAAGGAGGGAATTTGTCCACCTTTCATACATATTTGGGATGTGACCAGTTGATAGGGTAGAATGTGTTATTGAAGGCTTTCATGGCTGGAATCACGGAGTTGCTGTTCGTTTTCCAGGCTGTATGGCCATGTTCCAAAGTGTAGACTTTCCTGACTGTGGGCTGTTGTGAGTCTTCTGGGCTGTGTGGCCATGTTCCAGCAGCATTCTCTCCTGACATTTCACCTGCATCCATGGCAGGCATCGTCAGAGGTTGTGAGCTCACAACCTCTGAAGATTCCTGCCATAGATGCAAGCGAAATGTCAGGAGAGAATGCTTCTTGAACATGGCCATATAGCCTGGAAGACTCACAACAACCCAGTGATTCCAGCCATGAAAGCCTCTGACAATACATTTCTTGACTCTTGTCTGGCCTTCAGGACAATAGATCCTTCTAAACATGGGATTGTTTAATGCCATGTTATACATTTTGTTTAATATTTAATATATGAAAGTGAATCATATTAGTGTTTGATTTCAGTTTTTAAGATGTTTATATTAACATTAATATCAAGAGTAGAAGGAAAATGGTAACTCGGCCCCTTTATTGCTTGTTAGATTTAAATCTTTGCTTCTGTGTTTGATATTATTGGTTTTTTGTTGTTGTTTTCTTTGTCTAAATACTTCTTTTTAAATATTGTGGTGATGGATTTTCAATTTGAAAGTATCTATCTGCTTTTTAGAGACAAGACAAATCATATTTCATGCAAGATTATGCATATTTTGATCTTTTCTTTTTTCAAAGATGACTCAGAAAGATATCACTTTTGTTGCTGATTTTCTTACTGAACACTTCAATGAGGTAAGTTGTGGAGTATTTTTGTTTCCTGTGAGAAACCTGTCCAGTTTACAGGTGCATTACCTGATTCAGAGATTTCTTTGTCCAAAGGAAAGCAAGCAGACCCCTTGTACTACATGTCAGAAAGATAGGACTGCAGAAAATGAAAGATGCACCAGAGTTCATAACATCCCAGTCCCCTGCCTGTGCATATACCCCAGATCTAATCTATTTACATCCTTGCAGTGATGAAGAGAACATCACGTTCCATTCTGAAGCACTCTGAAATATGCTTTACATTTGTGCCTTTGTAATGCTGGCTTCAGTCAGCTAGATACATTTTTTAAAACACGCTTTCTCATTGAGGCTGTCAAATGTTGTATAAGACTAATTGTATATATTGAGAACTGGACAAAGTTACCGTAGATGTTGCTGTTTTAATAACCCTTCTTCCTTTGAACAACTAAATCAATTGCAATGTTTTCTAGTAATGTCACAATGTGGTTCTTTTATAGGCACCCGAGCTATACAATCGTAAGGGAAAATACTTCAATGTTGAAAGAGTTGGTCAGGTAATGTATTAGGCTCTTCCTTGCAATTGCAATATAAGTAAATAAACTGCTACAGAAAGGGCTGCTGGAACGCCTGAGATGCAACAAGGGTATATATACATTCCGCACATACACACTCCACATTTTGTAATGGATCGGGTGAATTTATATGAACACATAAGCAAATGTGTTTCCTTTCCACTGCATCCTCCATGCATTTTCCTAATCCTTATTTGCAATGATAATATAAATGACTTAAAACCTAAACAAACAATGTGGTAAGAGATCCCTCATGCCATTTACATTTTGGGCTTTGTCTGAAGTGAGATGGGAATGACCCTGGTTTGATGAAACTGGATATTAATATCAATTATCTAAGTTGAAGCACTGCATAAATTACTGTAGTCCTTCACCAGTCAGACATTTAGCACAACTACAAAGTGAAGGGAGATAGCAAGAATGGGACAAGTAAATAACACATTACAAATTGATGGAACAGACACCCTCAACAGAAATTTCCTGGAAGGCCACCTGCTGGCAAATCCTCTTATAACTATCCGCATAGTTTTACTTCCCATTTGCCTTGGACTGGCAGCAACTCTCAGATTGTCATTTCTGTATCCTTACAGCACAGAACACTTGCCTATCACATACTAGGCTTAGAAATTAGAACTGTTAGTTTTTTATTGCTTTTCCAAAAATCCGCTGAACTTGCTGACTGAAAGGTTGGTGGTTCGAATCCGGATAGCGGAGTGAGCTCCCACTGTTAACCCCAGCTTTTGCCAACCTAGCAGTTTGAAAACATGCAAATGTGAGTAGATCAATAGGTATTGCTTCGGCAGGAAGGTAACGGCACTCCATGCAGTCATGCTGGCCACATGACCTTGGAGTTATCTATGGACAACACCAGCTCTTCGGCTTAGAAATGGAAATGAGCACCACTCCCTAGAGTCGGAAATGACTAGACTTAACATTGAGGGGAAACCTTTACCTTTACTTTTTTATTTTTACTTAGATGTTTTGGTCTCAGAAGAGAGAAATATCTAAAAGCATCCAATATCTTTCCCCTAAGTTGTATTTTCAAATATGTGTTTATCTTGACATTTAGACATTTGCTCATACCACTTTCTTCCAGTACTTGAAAGATGAAGATGATGACCTTGTATCCCCACCTAACACAGAGGGAAACCAGTGGTTCAACTTCCTAAAAAATAGCAATCACCTTAAAGGTACAGCACTTTCTCCATGCAGGTCATCTAAAGATACCAAAGATGCCAATGTTAGCAAATCCTTGTTCATGGTGATGCATGTTAGCCGAAGATCCAGTACCCATAGGGCAAGACAGTGTATGGCTTTTCATTTTGCATTTGAACCATATGGAAATTTGTCTTTAGGGTGCAGGGAGGAAATTGGATGCATGCATCTTAATACCTATATTAGGGTGCATGATAGACACTAGGCATGGTTAGGTTCACTCGGAATCTTCGTAATTTGGAAAAAAATCAGAAAGATTTGCTTTTTGAAGAGATTTCGAAGTTTTTAAGGAAACCAGAAGTCCCTTTGCCCTTCTGAAGCTTTTTCCACCATTTCTGTTATGAAGCAGTAAGTGAGTCAGAAATTATTCAACTTTTCCCCGCTTTTGGTTCCTGGCCTCATCTCAAGCCAGAGATGCTAGATGAATTTCCTCCCTTTCCTCTGCCCCCGCTTGTCTTTCAAGCCTGGAAAGCATTTTAAACCAGAGTGGATGAATTTCCTCCCTTTCCTCTCCCCCTGCTTGTGTCTCAAGCCGTTTTAAACCAGAATGGAAGAATTTCCTCCCTTTGCTCTCCCCCCCCCCCCCCCAAACTTCTGGAGTAAAACAACTACTTTCAATGAAGCAGGAAATAACACTTTCAAACCATTAAGGAAGGATTCGGACGTTTCAAAAAGTTTTGAACATTTTTTTCTGTGAAAATTGGAATTGACTTTAGAATCAAACATCCGAAACGAGCTTTGAACCATTTTTTAAATCAAACAAGCCTAATAGACACATATAGTTCAGAACCAGAATGCTTTGAGTTCAGGTGCTCTGCACTTGAGTTATTCTGCATTCCACATCTTTCCAAATACTTCTTGTTGCTGCCACACTTTTTAGATATGCATCATTTTGTGACACCATAATTCAATTTTGCTAGCAAACTGGAAGCTAAATCAACTCCTTGTAAGAGATACGGATGCATACATAACCCAACTAAATGTTTGGGGACACAACATATCTCATAAATACCTTCCATTTATCTTTTTAAAAACATGATTTATTATTTCACATGGACTCAGAGGTTTCTCATTACATTCACGTGCCACACCTACACACTGCAGCCGAGACATTTAACGTGCTGTAATATGCGGTTTGCAAAGCTCTGCAGTCTTCTAATACTGAGCATATTCTACGAGTATGAGTCTTCATTGTCTTTATCAACAGGCTTGAAGAGATTTGCATTAAAAAACAACACCCCTATACCCCCCAAAAAATCCTTGCACACTTTCCTTCTTTGTTTACAATATATACAATTTTGTCTTGCTTGTTAGATAATTTAAATATCCAGTCTCCTTCACCTAACTATCATTAATGCAGCTTCTTTTTCATTTTATTTAGAAAGCCCTTTGTTATTTCCATACTACCCTCAGAAGTCACTGCATTTTGTTAAAAGGCAAATGGAGGGAATTATTGATCAGTGTCTGCAAAAGCCATCAGTAAGTATCCCATTTGTATGCATCTGGTCTGGGGAAGCCACAGGGCTACTCTCATCTCTTTTATTTTGGAAGCAAATGAGAAGAATGAGGCAATGTTTTTTATTTCCTAACTTCAGACAGGTCTTGCTTGCATTTTATGTTTTTTTATGGCATTATGGTGTGCTGTCTGGAAGCCGCTACAAGTCCCTCCGGGGAGATGGTGGTGGGATATAAATTTATTTATTTATATATTTGTTTATCATGTCTGAAGTGAATTGAGGGTGCAGTTATAATGTATTTAAAAACCACAAACAAAGTTAAAAACTTGGCATTATGTTCCAAGGACCACCCACGATAAGTGAAAATCCACGAAGTAGGGACACTATATTTATTTTAATATTATTTTAATATTTATACATTATTTTGGGAGTTCTACATTTTTTAACGTCTTTATAAACTTAAAATAAACCCTGTTTCTGTTTTACTGAGCACTTCTCCTCCTCTTCCCCCCCCCCCCACCCCCCGGCTCCCTGTCAGTGCGGTGGCTTGCCTTTCCCTTCACCGCGTGAAGAGAGAGAGAGCAAAGGAAATGAAGGAAAGACCCTTCAAGGCTGGAGGGAGGGAGGAGCGAGGAGGGAAAGCACCTTGGAGAGTGGCAGCGGCAGCAAAAACCCTCGAAACAGCAAAAATACCGCGATATACATTTTAAATTAATATTTATTGAAAAATCGAGAAATAGCGAGTCTGCTCAAAGTGAACTGTGAAGTAGCGAGGGAACAATGTATACAGTAACTCTTTTTGTGTTTCTGTGAGTAATATGTTTATCTATGTGTGCCTGTCCTCTTTATCTCTAGGATGTCATTGGGAAATCAATACACCAAGCATTTTCTTTGCCTTTATACAAAGCATCCAAAAGGTAGGGCTTTTAAAAGAAAAATAACATTATATATGTATATGTTACAAGTGAGATATCTGAAAAGGAAATGTTGGGCTGTGGCATGCTTCTGTTCAGTAGAGTCCCATCAACCATGTCTTTCGTAAAAATGCATGTATGTCCTTTTAAGTTTCTGTAGACCAGGGGTCCTCAAACTTTTTAAACAGAGGGCCAGGTCACAGTCCCCCAAACTGGTGGAGGGCCGGATTATAATTTGAAAAAAGCATGAATAAATTCCTCTGCAAACTGCACATGTCTTATTTGTAGTGCAAAAAAACCCCACTTAAAAGCAATATAATAATTAAAATGAAGAACAAGTCTAACAAATATAAGCTTATTAATATTTCAATGGGAAGTGTGGGCCTGCTTTTGGCTGATGAGATAGGATTGTTGTTGTTGTTGTGTACTTTGAAGTCGTTTCAGACTTAGGTTGACCCTGAGCGAGGGCCGGAAAATGTCCTTGGAGGGCCGTACCCGGCCCCTGGGCCTTAGTTTGAGGACCCCTGCTGTCGACTGACGGTGATACGATGAATTCCATGGGGTTTTCTTAGCCAAAGTACACTCAGAGGTGGCCATTTCCTTTCTCTGAAATACAACCACAGAACTTATTCATTGGACTCTCCCATCCAAGTGTTAACCAGAGCTAAGCTGCCAAGATCAGATAAGATCTGTTGCTTTTAGGGTATTTGGGATTCTCCATGCTAATCAGGACCTAACATTCAAATAAGCACTACTGTCCCTGGCTACCATTCTGTCCTAACGCTTGGTCAGCATTCTGTGCTCACTTGACTGGATCCGTCTCCTTGTTATGTTGTTTTGAGCTCCTTCCATAGTGTTTGCTATTTGCTAAACAGTTTTGTACAATTTTGCCAGTTTCAAATCTGTTGCTACCTTCCTCTTGTGCATGGATGGTGCTGTTTTGGCCTCAGAAAGGTGAATGTACAGGGAATGATTTTGCTATTACATGTATTATTTCCATGTCACGGTTATGTCTTATTTCTCTTCATCTTTTTTTCTTTCTTTTTCACGTTAGTGAGGATTCAGTTTCTCGGCTGTTCAAGTTGCCCTTTTTGTAAGTATGACTGATTCCTCTGTACTTCATTCATTAAGTGTTACATTTTTCCCCTGCCTGTAGCCGTGGGGGGGGGGGGGGGCTTGAGGGACTTCAGCCCCCCTCCCCCAAAATTCTCAGTGTAGTCCGAGAGAAGGCCTTACTGGTACATTATTTAAACTTTTATGTTTATTCGTATCATGATCTGATCACCATACTCAATATATCCCACATGCATGGGGGCATTGGGATAGTGATACAAAAGGTTTGCTAGGGTAGATCCCGAGCTTCCCCCCCCCCCCCCCCCCCCCCCCCTGAATCAAAATCCTGGCTATGGGCCTGCCTGATGATGACTTTCCCTATTACCTTTGCAGGTGGAATGATAAAACCTCCAATCTGCATTACATTTTGTTCACAATGTTAGAAAACTCCATTTCTAAAATATATATATTGAGGAGGCATACCGACGTTTCAAGGTATGTCGGCGCTAATGGACTTTTATTTTATTTCTTTTTAAAAAAGCATTAATGTAATTCCACAAACAAACAGAGAATTTATATATAGATAGATTTTATTTGTCTCCACTATCTTAGGACTGCAAATAATGGACTACTTGCCGTTGACTTTGGAAATTTTCTGAACAACAGTATTAGTGAAAGTTCAAGTACAAGGTTAGTACACCTGGAACAACAAGGAACTTCCAAAGATTCGTCAAATTATTACATATGATTGTCATCCTCTGATTCTGAGAAGTGAGATTCTGCCCAGATTGATCATGAGGTGGAAGGATTTTTAATTTTCATTCTGAATTTAATTTCAATTGTATGTGTTTCTGTATGGGGTGTATTTTTAGATAAAACCACTGGGTGTCAGTGTTACAAAGAGTTTAGTTTCAGTCTGATCAGGGGTTTTGGTACCCAGTCTTCTTAATATACTCAGCACTAGATATAAGAGAGTTTGATTCAAAAATCAGTTGGTTAATAAATATAAAATACACATACACAAATGTTAATAGCAGCAAAACAATTAAACCTATGATCAGAACAATTTAACTTGCCTACTTCTGAAAGATTCAGTTCACAGCCATTTTGGCTGGTAAATTATGAGAACTGTAAATAATACAGATTATTTTTCAGACTCTAAATAGACATGACTATCTAATGACTACTTGAATGTTGTTGATATTTAAAGCTCTTAAATACCATGTTCTTTGTTCATGGTGTTTAAGAGCTTCAAATATCAATGCTAGCAGACAGAGAATGGATGTAGGAACTCATGATTGAGGGCAATCTCTGTGAAAGTGAAAAACGCAAATAACTACATTCTTGGGAATTTTTACCTGCTAGACCAGTGGTTCTCAACCTGGGGTCCCCAGATGTTTTTGGCCTACAACTCCCAGAAATCCCAGCTAGTTTACCAGCTGTTAGGATTTGTGGGAGTTGTAGGCCAAAAACATCTGGGGACCCCAGGTTGAGAACCACTGTGCTAGACTATCTCTCTTGAAAAAAATTTGGGTCTTCCAGCATGACTCTATAGCCAACCCTTGCTGGATCCTGACCATAGAATCACATTGGAAGACTTCCTTTCCATTGTATATATAAATACGTAGTTATTCTTGCACAGCCAGTCAAAACACGCGGAGTTCTATGAATTATGATCTAGTCTGAAGGCAAAAGGGAATGTCAAAAGTTTGGGCCACTTATAGCCACATAAAATATTACATGAAATTTACTGTATTTTAAAGCAAAAAAAATGTATCTATGCATTATGCTTTGTGAAATACAATTAAAGTGTATTTTTTTTCTTCTCACTACAGCTTCTACAGTTGCCTTGATGCCCATTTCTATGATGATGACACTATAACAGTCATTATCACTGAGAATGTAGAACAAGAGGGGAAAGACAGGATTTTGGCCCAGCTGCCTTTGTCATCCATATATACCGAGGAGAACCAAGAACTGGAATTCAGCTGGAATTCTGGTCAAAGGTGCCAAGTGACAGATGTTTCAGAGTGTTGCTAGTTTATTATGTCTGGGTGTTTGAATACACATTTTTGAATAGATACAGAGTGTTAGAAATTGCTGAATTAAGAATATTTTATACTCCTATTGGCAAAGTACAGTGTTCCTCCAATATTTATTTATTTATCATGTTAGAAGCGAATTGAGGGTACAGTTGTAATGTATTTAAAAGCACAAACAAAGTTAAAAAACTTGGCATTATACTAAATGTTCTTTGACCAGGAGCTAGCCACTTGGGGTGCCTCTGGTGTTGCTATAAGCAGGTCCTCCATTGTGCATGTGGCAGGGCTCAGACTGCATTGTAATTGGTGGTATGTGGTTTGCTCTTCTCCACACTCAAATGTCATGGACTCTCCATTTCTTGAAGTTGACTCTGCATTTCGTGGTGCCAGAACGCAGTTTATTCAGCACCTTCCAAGGCTCCCAGTCTTCTGTGTGCTGAAGAGGGAGTCTCTCATTTGGTATCAGCCATTGATTGAGGTTGTTCCATGTTGTATCCTGCCACTTTTGGACTCTTGCTTGCTGAAGTGTTCCTGCGAGTATCTCTGTAGATCTTAGAAAGCTATTTCTTGATTTAGGTGTTGGCGTGCTGGCTGATATCTGAACAGTGGGTGGGCCAGAGATGTTAGTGCCTTGGTCTTTTCATTATTGGCTGCTACCACCTGGCAGATGTCAGGAGGTGCAATGCAGGCTAGTATAATTTCTCCAGTGGTGGTGGGCGTAGACATCCTGTGACAATGTGGCATGTCTCATTAAGAACCACATCCACTGTTTTAACATGGTGAGAGTAGCAGCAGAGTAGCAAATATCAAGGGCAGATGGCTTCACTGACTGTGACCCCCAGGTTGTGCCAGTCAGCTTTTGTATGATATTATTTCTAGTGCCCACTTTTTGCTTGATAGTCAAGCATTGTGTAAACAGAGTTTAAGGGACGAGGTGTCCCTTAACGCATGTGTGACAGGAATTTGCGTGAGGGAATGACTAATGATGTGAGAGACCGATGATACTGGTAGATTTTTGCCGCCACCACCTCAATTTTATTGTTTGAGGAAACAAAGGTGTGAATGTATTTGAGGTAATATGCACCTAAGCTTCTGGTTCTTCTTTTTGGGCTCCTTTGCTTGCTGACTGGACTGTAAAAAGACTTAGATTGACTTGGTTTCACTGAGTACAACAGACTGAGGCAGACACCAGTTAACAATGAACTAATAACAGGTTTATTGAACTTTAAGAAGATGACAACTCATAAAATGAGAGGTACACACGCGTATCTTTGTTACTGAGGCTTAGGCTTACTAGACATAAGGTTTCTATAGACGGAGTAGCTTTTATTTGAAGTGAGATATCTTCTTCACACTATTCAACCCTTTGAAACAGTGTGTTTCTAAAATCAGTCCCTCTGGCTGTCTTACAGAGTAACCAGACTTTCTCCAGTCTGCTCTCCACTATAGGTCAATAAGCCTTCTTGTATTATCTCCAAAATACAAGCTGACAAGTCTTCTCACTGTCTAAAATAGTTCAGCTCTGCTGAAGCCCTGTATTCCCTATCAGAACCACTCACTCAAAAGCTTCCTTCTCCCTGTCTCTGTTAAACCCTTCTCTCTGTCATGTTAAAACCCTTCTCTCTGTGTGTTAGAATCCATCTCCCTCTCCTGTCAGAAGTGACAGCCTTTTTCACTCTCACCCAACTCCTCCCCTTGGTGCTTAAACCAATCAGGAGTTGGCTGACTCCTCCCCTGCCTCCTTGCCTATCCTAAGATGGAGACCCAGCCCACTGACTCTCAGGCTTCGGCCTAGCCAGCAAAGGTTAGAATCTATTACACATTGCTTCTTGTAAGCACAGTCCAGGGTAACTCCCAGGTATTTTGGTGTGCTGCAATGCCCCATTGGGATTCCTTTCCAAGGAATCCTCAGAGCTTGAGATGCTTGTCTGTTCTTAGAGTGAAAACCCCAGTATCTCCTTGGGTTTGGTTTCCCTCTATGATGATGGTACCCTCTATGGATACCATCATCTGTGGATGCTTAAATCTCATTATATGCAATGGCGTAGTAAAATGGCACCCCTTATATAAAAGAGGGGACAGCAAGCTTTGCTTTTTGGATTTTTTTTCAAAAATATTTTTGAGCTGTAATTGTTTGAATCCGTGGATGCAGAATCCATGGATATGGAGGGCCAGCTGAAAAGTGATGTGTTTGCTCTTTTATTGTTTTGTAGCAGCTTGTAATTACTTTCCAAAAATGTCCTTGTAAGTACAGTCAGGCCTCCATATTGGCTGGGGTAAGGACCACAAGAAAAACTGTAAATAAATACATCTAAGGATGCCTGCCATAGATGCAGGCGAAATGTCAGGAGAGAATGCTTCTGGAATATAGCCATAGAGCCCGGAAAACTCACAACAACCCAGTAAGCAAAGTTTATTGATTAGTCCACTGACCGTATCAACATTAAAAACAAAAACAGAAACGTACACAAATAGACAATAATCACTATCCTAAGACTCCCATAATAGTGAACTAGCATACATTCAAATCACAACAACCCAGTGATTCTGGCCATGAAAGCCTTCGTCAACACATTGTAAATAAATTTACATTTTCTTTACCTGAGATAATAGCTTTCTGTGAATGTTGAAGCCTTTGGCCAACTTCCATTGGAAGCTGAACACAGAATCACATTGGAAGACATAGAGAAGTGACCACAGAGCGGTTCTGTATTTGTAGAGAAAATATTGTAAATTAAATATGTGTATAATCAAATCCGCAAAAGTCAAAACCACAAATGTGAAGGGGTGACTGTAGCTTCTGAAGCTAACTCCTTCCTTTTATGTGGCTGTTTCATTACTTAGTTGGCCAATCTCGGGCACATTTTCTTGTCAGACCATAGATTTCACATTGTGAATATAATGTGGGAAAAGCTAATGGGAGTGAATTTGCCTGAATAAGTATATGACATTTCCACAATCTTCACTGCAGACCTGGCAGCATAAGTGGAAATATACATACTTAGCTAACTAGTTAATTTGTAATAAGGAAACTCAGAAAGCGGGGTGTTGGAAAACCCAACAAATATAGCTTGAGCTTTTATGGACAGTAACTCACTTTATCAGTACCATGGTAAAGATGAATATTTTCTGATATGTACCTGCCTATACATTAAATGTAGTTAGGAGGGACTCCTATGTGACTACATTTTGGGAGAAATATACATTTATGCTGCCTAGGTGTGGAATGCCCTTCCTTTGGAAGTCTGACTAGCACGAATGTTGCCTCATATTGGCACCAAGTCAAACATTGGCTGTTCACCCAGGCTTTTGCCCAGGGTGCATCACTTGTGTGCTGGGCTGTGAGATTTATTTCTTTATGTTTGTTCTTTGAAATATTGATTTGTTATGGCGTCTCTGAAGCTTCTATTTTAGATTGAACTTCACCCCGAGATATTTAAATGCAGTGATAATAGAGATACTTAATAAATAAACGAAATGGTGTATAGTCCACAAAAGCTTATGTAGCAAGATACGTGACAGCTTGTAGGGTGCTATGGGAGTCTTTATTTTAACATGGATAGCCTTTTAAAAATGCATGGGTACCTTGAATGAGCATGTTATGGGTGTTTCTGGAATTTTAACACTTTATGCGGAGATGAAAATGAATTTCTTCTGGATTTCACCTAGGTTAGACATGCAGTGTGATGGCATTCCTACTCGTACTGTCACCATAGAAGGCCAGTGGAGGATGCTAGAGAACATGAAGGCCCAGTATGTTGCCGTGAATGGTGTCCGAAAAGTTTCTTGTGTGGTAAGGATCGAGCTTACAGATTTTAAACAGGACTGATTGATTGATAGGGTGATCCAGCAGGGAGACTCGCTTTGGAAGAAAATATGTGCAGGGCTGAACCTTCATTTTTTCTTTTCTGATGGGTAAAGAGGCTAGACTGATCTATCCCCATCCAGATGGATTACACTATGTAAAAGAATTTGAAAAAAATCTGTTCCTGGTTTGAAAGTGTTATTTCCTGTTTAACTGTGCGGTACTTACCTTGAAAGTAGTTGTTATACTCCAGAAACTTTGTTTTTGTGGATTAGGGTAGTCCTATTATTTCCTTCAGTCTAGGCCAGGGGTTCTCAACCTGTGGGTCTCAACTCCCAGAAATCCTAACAGCTAGAAAACTGGCTGGCGTTTCTGGGAGTTGTAGGCGAAAACAGCTGGAGATCCACAGGTTGAGAATCGGTGGGCTAGGTCAAGGATTCTCAAACTTTTTTCAGTTGTGGAGCCCTTTTTGAAACAAAAGTTCCTTGTGGATCCCCAGGAAATGTTATATATATATGGAGCTGACAGTGATGCAGTGGGTTAAACCACTGAGCTGCTGAACTCGCTGTCCAAAAGGTTATCAGTTCAAATCTGCGGAGCGGGGTGAGCTCCCACTGTTAGGTGCAGCTTCTGCCAACTGAGCATTTCGAAAACATGCAAATGTGAATATATCAATAGGTACCACTTCGGTGGGAAGGTAACGGTGCGGCATGCTGGCCACATGACCTTGGAGACATCTACAAACAACGCCGGCTCTTCAGCTTAGAAATGGAGATGAGCACCACCCCCCAGAGTCAGACACGACTAGACTTAATGTCAAGGGGAAACTTTTACCTTTGTGTGTATAAAATCAGGCATGGGCAAACTTTTGAAGAACAATTTTAACCAACATAAACATAACAGTATTTCAGTGGAATACCCCAGAGGTCATCCAGCCTTTGTAGTAGTAGGAATAATGATGATGATGATGATGATGATAATAAATTATTCCATACAGGAAAAGCACAGTTAAAGCAGTCCCTGAGTGTTGGAAGGGAAATAAGGTTTTGGAAGCAAAGAAAGCGGAGGTGGAGGTGGGTGGGTCTGTGCATGGAAGCAAAAGAGTCTGGGCAGCGAGGAAGGCAGGGGAGAAAAAGTCTGTTCCCCGGGAGGACACTGCTGCTGCAATTTTGCAAACTCCAGAGTTTTAATTTCCATGCATTTCTCAGGAGGAGAAGGAGGCAGGAAGCAGCATGGTGCCACGGCGCCACTCACTATCCCTCGTGGAGCCCCAAGGGCTTCATGGAGCACAGTTTAAGAACTCCTGGTGTAGGCACTTGATTTACAATTTTCTTTAATGAAAATATGCCATTTAAAACCTTTGTGCAGACCACAAAAACATTTTTTTTTTGCAGTTTAATAAACTTTCCCCATGTTTTTATGATAGAACCAATTAGGAAATGACATTTATTACCCAGGAACAAAAAATATTTTACTCAGGATTATCTTAACTGGTAAAATAGTTTTGAGATTCTGTACAACAGTAAAGGTAAAGGTTTTCCCTGACATTAAGTCTAGTCGTGTCTGACTCTGGAAGGTGGTGCTCATCTCCATTTCTAAGCCAAAGAGCCAGTGTTGTTCATAGACACCTCCAAGTTCATGTGGCCAGCATGACTTTATGGAGCATATTGGGCATATTTTTGGGCATATTGAGTATTCCTGCCAGAGCGTGTTTGCGTGTTTTTGAACTGCTAGGTTGGCAGAAGCTGGGCCTAGTAGCAGGGGCTCACCCCACTCCCTAAACCTACTGTATCAAATGGTGTAGAAGCATTTTTTGAGGTGCTTGTAGCTAAAGGAAGTTCAGTAATGATACAAGTGTTTTTGTGGTTCTTAATGTTTGTGTTTGATATATTTGTCTGAAATATTTTCATAGCTAAGTTCGAACCTGCGTCACATCCGAGTGTTTGAAATGGATGTTGAAGATGATGGAGAAGCTGAAGAGGAAGAGGAGGAGGAAGCAACACAGGTTGTTGGTCCGGACCAAGAGGAACTCAAACAAACTACTGAAAACCCTGAAAAGAGTGTCTGTTCTGACTCTGGTGAATTGACAGATCAAACAGAAGAACATGAATCAAGTCTCCGTGTCTAAGGAAAACTCATGTCAGTGTCTTGTTGTGTTACAAAGAAGAAACAGAAGCATGGTCTTGGTTGCTGAGTGTTTTTGGTGGGAATGAATCACATTGATTTTTTAAAACTACAGTACATTAGTGCTGCTTTGAGTGGACAAATCCCTGAATGTTCCCTTTTTCCATGACTTCCAAGTTCAGTTTTTGTGTGTGCTACGAGTACATTGTCTGAATAAGTACATAAACGTTTTTGGAAAGATGTTTCTACTTTAAAAATGTTAGTCGTACCTTCATTTTCAATACCTATTGTCTCCATTTCCCTGATCTTTTCATAGTATTGCTTTCAGGTGCCATAGGTTGCATTTCCATGGATGCATTTCTGTTCACTTTCCCAAGCAGCCTGTGTGACCTGAGAAGTGGATGGAAACCTATTCTGAAGCCTGTTTTGATTTCCAGTGTGAATTTTGTAAGGGAAGATAAATTAAAAAGGAGTATATTTTTCTGTAGTTATTTGATCTTCCTGTTTCATTCCCTGTCATATTTTTGGAGCTGTTTTTCAGTTGAATGTGAAAAAAGGAATTTGCTTTATAACTGAAAAAAATGAATTGCTTGCTTCAGAAAGTAACTTGACTTTTTTCTGGGATGTGCTTCACCAACTAGTTTTAAGTAATAAACAGTTAAGACCAGCATATCTGTGGGGATACATGCCAGGACAGACCACATTAAATGATCTGACTTCTGTCCCTGGTATATGATAGAGCTGAGATAGAGAACCTAAATATTCTGAGAGATGTATCCTCACTAGGGATTTCCTAGTTTCTTCGACATGATTGTTTGGTAACTTCCAGGAAAAATATACCATAGAATTGCTTGGAGAACCTAGAAAAGACCTAGAGCAGCATTTCTCAATCTGGGGGTTGGGACCCCTGGGGGGGGGGGTCGTGAGGGGGTTTCAGAGATGTCACCAAAGACCACCAAAAATATATATATTTCTGATGGTATTAGGAACCCCTTTAGCAGAGAAGGCTGAAGATCTCTCTGCCTGTCCTTCTCTTTCTTTTTGTAAACAGTCAGCGAATCCTCCCACCAGAAGCTGCTCCTCTCAGCCGGCCTCTCAGCCAAGGGGAGGGCTGTTTCTGAGACTCCAAGCGAGGAGGGGAGAGTAGGTATGCTCGGCACATGGCAGCGTGGTGCACGTGTGCAGGCGAGGGAAAACATGTGAGGTTGTAGGGAGGTTGCGCCAACAAGTTCCTTCAAGACATGAGGGTTCTGTGTGGGAAGTTTGGCCCAATTCTGTCATTGGTGGGATTCAGAATGCTCTTTGAGTGTAGGTGAACTATAAATCCCAGCAACTACAATTCCCAGATGTCAAGGTCTATTTTCCCCAAACTCCACCAGCGTTCACATTTGGGCATATTGAGTATTCATGCCAAGTTTGGTCCAGATCTATCATTGTTTGAGTTCACAGTGCTCTCTGGATATAGTTGAACTACAACTCTTAAACAAGTCAATGCTCACCAAACCCTTCTGGTATTTTCTGTTGGTCATGGGAGTTCTGTGTGCCAAGTCTGGTTCAATTTCATCATTGGTTGAGTTCGGAATGTTCTTTGATTGCAGGTTAACGATAAATCCCAGAAACTACAACCCCCAAATTACAAAATCACCCTCCCAACCTCACCAGTATTCAAATTTGGGAGCATCAGGTTATTTGTGTGATATTTGGTCTAGTGAATGAAAATGCATCTTGTGTATTGGATACTTACGTTATGATTCATAACAGTAGCAAAATTACAATTATGAAGTAGCAACAAAAATAATGGTTGGGGGTCACCACAACATGACGAACTGTATTAAGGCGTTGCAGCATTAGGAAGGTTGAGCAATACTGACCTAAAGAGGATTTTTCTCTGGCTGTGAATGTGCAAAACCGCTCATATAGGTTCTGCGGTTAGGGAGTTCTCACTATATTACACTTTAGATTTGTGGTGCTTGGGACTTCCGGTGGACGCCCATGGAGGCAGGCTGGGTCTGGTGAGTGCTCTCTCACCAAACCAACTGACTTTCTAGGTTTTGGTGGGTTTTGAACCCCCCTCTCTGTCCTGGAGCGAGGGGACGGAGAGTCGCTAGGCTGCTTGACTCCCCCTTGTTCCCCTGAGCATGTTTTGGGGGGCTATGGGGTGGTAGTCGCAGTGTGCGAACCTAGAGTCAGGAAGCGGAGGATACTCCGCATTTACTGCCTCTGCTACCACCCAAAATGCATAAAATGATGAAATGAAGACGCTGGAGATGCGTGTCCATAAGGAATGACTCTTTTCATTCATTCACCTCATCCTCTCCAATTATAAGACATCCAACGATATTGTTTATTTAAGATTATTTAAGATTTAAAAAATATATATATATATATATATAAGAGAAGCAGATCTTCTTAAAACAAGGCACAAGCGGTAAGAACTACAATCCGAAGCTCCGCCACTCAACTCCATTCAACTAGGCCTGATCTTACATCCTTACATCCTACAACTCTCCTACAACTCTGCGAAGAGAGGCAAGAAGCCGGGAATAACTACGGAGTACGGCAGGAGGAGAGGGAGGAAGCGGCATGGAGGAGTCGCTAAGAAGGAGAGATTCTTGGTAAACAACTGAGAAAACCTTATAAGAAAAGTGAAGAAGCAGAAAGCAGAAGTCCGACACACTGGGGGAGGAGATAGAGACAGAAACAGGATAGAGCAAAAACTTAACTACAACCGAGAAGACACTATAAAACCCAATTGAGCTGTATTAAATACCGGGGTAAAACCCCAAGTACCGTGGGTCGCCTCCGGGTGCGGAGAGTTGCTGCAGGACGGGAGCCGCGTGGTTTTTCCCTGACCGCCGCCCTGCTCTGGCCCCAGCCCCTGCCTCGAGCAGTTCGACGAGCAACTCGACGACGGAGTGCGGCCGAGGTGGAGAGGTGGTCGAGTCGGGGGGGAGACGCTGAGGACGCTGGGACCGAGAGAGATAACATCGGAGAGGAGATCCGGCGGCGGAGGGATTCAGGGGACCCGGATGAGCGGCGGAACGGTTGCGGAGGGATCTACGACCTACAGAGACTTTAGAGACCACAGGGAGACGCGGAGCTACGGCGGAGGAAGAGGTCCAGAGAACGGTGGGAGTATAACCCTCCAACAGCCGCGAACGCGGCGAATGGGGTGCAAACTACAAAGACACTGCAGAGTCACCATAGCCGGCTGTGTGTAGCTGCAACCCGGTCGTAGGTGCATGTAAAAAGGCGACCGAGGGTCCAAAAGGGGCAACGCGCTTGATGGAACGTTGGCCGAGTGCGGCAGAACAACAGTGAGTAAAAGGACAGAGGCTGCCAGAAAGGGTACAATAATCAACGGACTGTGATTATACGGGGGAGGGGGCAACTCGATAATGATTAATTAATAATAAGAAGGAGGAAAGCTGGAAGACAGTTGGAAGATAGTAAGAGAGAGAGAAAAAGGGGATAAGCTAGACCCCAGAGAGGCAAACACAACCAACTAGGGAAAATAAAGAGAAAGTTTAATTCAAAGTCAAGGATAAGTTAGTTCTCTCACCTTAAGGGAAGGGAATATAGGGGCCCAAGATAAAAGCAGCTGGGTAGGGGAGGAAAGAATGTGAAATCAAGAACCCAGAGGAAAGAAAGGACACAGAACGAGTGTTAATACGGGAGAGAAGGAAAAGAGGAAAGAGAGAAAGTAGAAACTCTTAAGAGGAAACAGAAAGCCTAATAGGGGGACACTCCCAAAAGTGGTGAATGAAAGCAAGAAACAACAGTAACAAGACTGTAGTCTTCTAGAATCCACCAAATAGCCTCCACCTTAACCTGGCAAAAAATCAGAGACTCTAAACAGTATAAGGCCCCAATATATTACACCCACTATAGCCAGCTGACAAAATAAGATTAAGGGGAACACTCCATTTGAAATCAAAGGAGGAAATATCATAGGATACGTATCCCCCCCCCTGAACCCCTGATAATATAGAAATGGCAAATATCAAATATAGAGTGGATAAGGATCTAAAAGAAATAAAAGAACTAAGAGGCCTACCTAGAAGGCATTCAATGACAGGCCCATCAATGGTATCAGACACCCCAACTCCAACTCCTGAAGAACCGGGGCTAAGGGAACTATTACTGGGAATACAGAAAGAGATACAGGGTCTGTCTGAAAAACAAGATAAATTGCAAGCTGACTTCCAAGCCAGGGCTGAGAAACAGGAAGCCCAACAGAAAGTTATTCAAACAGAAGTCTCAATAATTCAAAAGGAACTTAAAGAAGAGATGAAACAAATGAAAGAAGAACTAACCAAAACAATACAGGAAATTAAGGAAGCCAAATCAAATAACATTAAAGTAGAGAAAGCTCAAAGGGAAATGGAGGAAAAATTGGGGAGGATAGAAAGGCAAAATCTTAAAATGGAGAATGCGCAAGAGAAGCTAGTACAAAATGATACTGAATACCAACTCCGTTTTAGAAACATAGTAGAAACGGAGAAAGAAAACATCAGGGAAATCATAGTTAATCTCTTGGCGAAATTATTGGACTCACCTACACAAGTAATAGACAATGGGCTGGACAGGGTGCATAGGGTTAATTCCAACTATGCGAAGAGAAACAAGACACCAAAAGACACAGTAGTGAACTTCGTCAGAAAAACAACTAGGGATGAAGTATTGAGAACAAGTCACCTGAAGCCCATAGATTACATGGAAACAAGAGTACTAATACTAAAAGAATTCCCCCCTGATACCCTAAGTAAAAGGAAGAAGTATTTCTTCCTAACGGATGAACTTAAAAGACTTAACATCAGATTTCGGTGGGAAAAACAGGAGGGTATTATGACAACGTATAAGGGGGAAAGACTCTGGCTTACATCGGAGGATAAAGCCAGAATTTTCTTTAAGAGATTAGAGAAGGAGTTCAAAATTAGGTCTCCTCAAAGACCAGAAGAAAAAAGGAAGAAATCCAAAAGGAAAAGAAGCAAATCCCCTGGTGCCGGGAGATCGACCCAGAACCCAAGACTTGACAACGAGAAAGAGGACGATGGAGAAGAACCTGACGAAATGGACGATGACGACAGAAAGGAGTAAAATGGGCGACATCTCTCAGCAGGTAAAATTTTATTCTAATAATGTAAACGGGTTAAACTCACCCAATAAAAGGAATATGATATTTAATCAATTAAAAAAAGGCAAATATAATATAATTGCACTGCAGGAAACCCATATATCACAACGTCACTCATCATATTTGGCCCATAAAAAATTAGGCAAGGTATACTTCTCCTCAGCCTCAGAAAAGAAAAGAGGCGTGGCGTTGCACATAGATGAGAATATCCCATCAGACCTTATTTTCAAGGACTCAGAGGGGAGAATACTTGCAGTTAAAATAATGGTGGGAATGGAGAATATTCTTATATGCAACATATACGCCCCCAATGGTCCTAAAGGGAAATTTGTAAAAGTTCTGAAAGAAAA